GTTTTGTTATTCCCTACTTTAAATTTTCTTTGGTGTTTTTGATTTTTTTATGCAAATGTCTAATAAATGCTCTTTTATGAGCATTATCTGATCAAATTTCTTTTAACCATTTACTTATTTAAAAAAAATGAACTAAAATTTAGGCAATGTGTACTTTTATATTAATATGTATGGTCATATTCTGTTAATGTTTAAAGTGGTCTTCATAAATTAAAGCATATAATATTTAATGCAAGCAGTCACAGTTAAATGTTGCAGATGGCTTGTCCTGACAACATCGTGATTTTCAAAATCTTGAAAAAATATCAAACATGATTTGGAAATATACAATGTTTTATTGAACATTCAGTGAATACTTAGAAAAGGACTCACCATGCCTATTACCGTCTGTGAATGACAGAGAATTTTCATGAAAACAAAATTCAAGAAACATGTATAAAATAAAAACAGTCGTTATGCAATAAGAGGAAGTCAAGTTAATGCATGAGCAGATGTGAGATTGTTATTTTACTGCGTAGTCATATATTGTCATATAGTGCCATACTAAAATGAAGTTTTGACAAGCACCCTTTGATAAAGTGTTACTGTAGTCTCTTTCTCATTAAAAGCTCCTTTATTTTTGTTTTATCAATTCTTAACAACAATAAGGAAGAGCATTGCAGTGAAATGCTTGTTAAAAAGTTTACTTTATATATATATATATATATATATATATATATATATATATATATATATATATATATATATATATATATATATATATATATATATATATATATATATATATATTCATTTAAGCAAAATTGTTTTCTGGCTTTGTGGCGTATTAAGATTTTGAACAAGTTATGTACTAGAATGAGTTAGCACCCAAACAAGGTACTTGTATTGAGTCCAAATAAGATAGCGAATCAGAGTATAAGATGATGTTACACAATTATCATTCTTAAATATAAGGAATGCGTGAATGATAAAAATCAAAGAACATAAATTTTCTTTATCTGGGTAAAATAAATTACAATTTTGATAAGTTCATAATGAAACAATCATTAAACATTATGACAGGAAGCATATACTTCCAACAAACAGATTTTCTCGACTTTAATACTAACATAAAAATGCCAAACAATGTTTCTGTTTTACACGCTAAGTAAGGGCATGAATACAGTTTTTATGCATGTGTTTAAAATGAGTTATACAATACTATCAGTTTTTTAACACAATAAGTACTTTCTTATTTATATAATTTCAATTTATTTTTTTTTTAATTCGTCTTTTGGTTAATAATAATGTAAGTAAAATTTAAATTTAGGGAAACAGGAATTCTACGAAGTACTACTCTTCTAAATGCAAGGAGTGGTAAAGATGTATATAAACATAATATATAATCATGGTAATAGAGTTTGAAGGGATACATAATTAAATATTCACATATTCCAATGTTGTTGTCCGAGATAAAACTAAAAATAATGTAATAGATTTATTACCTCATAAAGCGATTTCCAGAGCAAGTCAAGGAACTGAATGCTATCTATTGCTGTGTTTTGCTTAGTTATACATCTGGCGGAGATGCTGAGATTTCTAACTTTTGAATAAATTTTATTTTTAATTGAATCAAAAAGCAGGTCATATTTATATATAAAGAAATACTGCAGACAGGTTTAAGGTTTTATGATGATGATCATTCAATTTTCTCGCGTGAAAATTTTACGCACAAATGCCTTCGGATTTATCACCACATTAAAAAGACCAAGACATTTACCCTTAACGTAATGAAATTAATAAAATTAAAATCAATCTTTTACTACAAGTTTATTTCGTGCTTTATGTGTCGTACTTTTTTTAAGCTTAAAAAAATATTATTTCCTCCTCGGAAAAATGCTTCCTGAATAAAGTTTTAAAATTAATTGGTATACCGGACTTAATTTACATGCACAAGGCGAAAACATTTTCAAAGTACGTAAAATGATGACGTCACTGGCAATTTGAATTGAAAAAAAACAACACCGTTGAGTGTCCAATTATTAAACGTAGAGTATAACCCACAATTTCTTTTCATCAAATGTACTTTTGTCAAAATGTTCTTTTATTTCGCGGAATGTTTGTACCCTTCTAGACCCATTATGCAAGCTTTATCTCTTTATACCTAATGGTGTTATATAGTGTTATATATTTACAGCTTTTTGAGGCAGCAGCTTAGCGTATTGGTCAAGCTTCATGCAGAATTGAATCAACATCTGTATTGCTTGTATTTCAGTTTTCCATGAGTAAAAGACTTCTCAGCTACGTTATTGAAGACGTGAATTCTCATGTGTGTATGATAAAATTTCATTTGAAGTCAATAAACACGTCAATAAAAATTTACAAGGTAACAAAAATCAATTAAAGTACATGATGGTGCGTAACAACAAACATACATTTATTTTATCCATTATTTATTCGATCATGCAAAATCACACCAATGAATAACAATGCTTTTGAGTAATAATAAACAAGTCATGTGTTATAAATGACGTAACTATAATTGACTTGACGGAGTACAAGTGATCCAGAGAAGTTGATGGTCTAATTATTACAAGAATACTTAATTTAATCAAATTTACAATTCTTGTCAAGTTTTAAATAAAATCTATAAAACTAAAATCGAATCATTTATTTAATACAATAAAGATAATCAACCGATATATACCTTTTAAAAATTTAAAGAAAATCGCAAGGACGATAAGCGTATTCCCAATTAATCCTAAAAGTGCACAGGCATAAGCTAGACTGTTTGAGCTGAAATATGAAATATTAATTGCTTATATTATGTATTTTTTCAAAAGTGATGGGAGCTGATTGTTGTCTTTAAAATGTTATTTTTATGCAATACAGAATTTAAGCGAAAATGGTATATATAGCAATTGCATGCATTTTCCACATAATTACGAATACTCTAAAAAATCAGAGAGTTACATTGTACTCCCAGCACTTTTTTTAGGTAGATGATGTTGACATCTTTTTAATATTCAAATTTTATTTCCAGAAACATATGTATGCCCTTGCAATAGGGTCATTTTCAACATTCAACATAACATACTGTATATTCTTCTTCTTTTTTTTCAAGAGTACTTGTTATCGCGAGATACCTCTTTAACGTAAAATCGCGAGAACAATAATTCGCGAGTGGACTGGATTTTATATTGATTTCATCACCTTAAAAATAAAAGCGAGATATTTTATTTGGCGGAATTACGCAATAATTAATTCCTCTCGTATATTTAGGAATCTACAGTATCTATTAAATACAAGTCATTTGACAAACAGCTGATACAAGCCCTGTATTGTAACATGTGCTAAGTACGACACAAACAATTCTTTCTATATATTTATGCATTCATATGTCCACAGTTGTGAGCATTACAGTATTAATTCAAGCCTCTGTTGAAATACACTTTTATTGATTGAAGTATATGTTTTCAGTGCCTCTCTGTATGTGGTCATACACAGCCTTGATGACCAATCTGTATTCTTCCTGTAAACAAACACGTATGAATATTCAATTATCAATAGAAACATATTGCTGTTTTTTTTTGAAAATATACTGCTTCAGCTTATTTTGCAGGTATCAAAGTGAAACAGAATTGTGTATTTGAGATGATTTGTAACAGATTTATATACTGTAAACAAACTTTTGTTTCAGACTTACGAACTTTAGCAAAACTTTTGTTTCAGATTTATGAACTGTTAACAAATTTTTGTTTGCGTCCAAGAAGTATCGCGTCTGTCTTCCATTCATTTCATTTTCTACTTACACAGAATAATTCCTCAGTTGCAAAAATTCTTCGTCATGATTTCAGTCGATAAATCATGAATAAAATAAGGGCGAATAATAGTTGGTTGACAGTATATTGATAACTTTAAGAAAACAGCCTCTTCAGACATTTTTTTTTTTATTTTTTACATGATGTAAAGAATCAAAAATAAAGTGCACAGTCATATAGCGAAGTAAAACTGCTCTTCTGAGCAACGACTGGTGTGTACATACATCTAATAAACTATTATGATTATCAGAGTTTGTGTGAAAAAAAAAAAAGATAATTTCGATAGGACTTACAATACTGGAGCAGAATTCAGGTCTTCGAATTTGAAGTTGTCTTACTGAAGTAAAAACGTCCACGTTTGTATCCATGTTTATTTGTTGAATCACGTTATGAACTGCACAAAAGGCACCACAAATGGTAGCTCCATCACTACAAGGCAAATCGACATTTGATTTAAAAAAAAATAACAATATCTAATTTAAATCACTTCTCTTAATAAAAGTCAGCACTCATTTAGTAGAAATAGGAATGATAAAAAAAAATGGAGCTTGCTTTCAAGAACTTAGGAAATTTCCAATCAAAACGGTATATTGAATTTAATTTAGTAATCAAAAACATTTTTGATCATTATTTCTAAAAAGGTGGTTAGATTTGTATTCATATGTACGTTCGTAAAATTTATATCAAACCTGCTGACAACGATGACAGGATTTTCTCTATCCACACTAAGAGCAACAGAAACCAGGCTTCGAAGCTGAGAAGTATCTAGAGGAGTTCCGGAAAAGTTGATGCTAAACCTTGGTTCTATAACAGTCACTGTGTGAGACTTTTTACTCTACAGAAAATTAACACTTTTTGTCCCCTACATGTGAAACTGGAGGGAGAATACAATTGTTTTCCTCTTACACTTGCCGGTAGGGGACTTGTTTTGCTAATGCAATATTCTCAGAATGCTTGTTTAAAATTTCATTATCATTTCACTTTTTGAAATACTAATAAGATACCAATAATATATATATATATATATATATATATATATATATATATATATATATATATATATATATATATATATATATATATATATATATATATATATATATAAAGAGAGAGAAAGAGGAGGGGGGGGGGCAGACAGATGAGAGATACAGAGAGAGAGGATCAAGGCAACAACCATAGTGCAACCTGTTGTTAATTTACATTTTTCTGCCTTATAAGAATTATCGAGCTGCTGACGTCAGTTTCAGATTTTGATTGAAATTGGATGGTGAAGGGATTGGCAGATTTGGAAGAGTTGGTATGACTTGGTACCCATGTCTTACTCTAGAAGGTAAAAAAAATATATATGACTATCATCGTTGAAAAGGTCTCATTTTTATGCATTCGATGACCATTGAGATTCTATAATCAACATTTATTTAAGCTTTCTTTTTATCTGAATCGGGAACATTGCATACATAATGTTCATATATATATATATATATATATATATATATATATATATATATATATATATATATATATATATATATATATATATAAATATAAATATATATATATATATATATATATATATATATATATATTAGAAAATGAAAATAATATAAAAAAAAGTAGCATATAATTCACATTTTGCAGAGTGGGCTATGTTCTAAGATAGAATTTTAGCGACTAAGAACGGTGTCGGTCGTTTCACTCCTTCCATACCGCTTTAATAGCTAAAATTTTACTTAATATAACTTTTATGTACTTTAGCCTAAAAAAAAGTTGATCCAGAATTTTTCTCTCTATATTTGATTGTGTGGATATGGACTATTATGAGGCATAAAAAATGCGATTTTTACTATAGCTGGCGGAGGAATAAATTGAATTACCTAAGTTTTCTTATATATAATTCACGCTTACATACCGATTCAATCCCACTCAGTGGATCCAAACAGATGACAGTGTTCGACTCTTGCTCACTGACCAGGAGCAGGAAGTCAACAGTGTCCTCTGCTTGCGGATAGTGCGTTACAATAAACGCCTTATTGTTGATGAATGACTAGAAATGACAAAGTATTTTTTTAGTATAGTTAAAATAAGATTTTTGTTAATGTCGAAAATCTTGATCAGACATAATTTCCTCATTCATCTGAGAAATAATTATCTCGCCTAAAGGTAATCAAGTATCTGTTGCGAATTTGACCCTAAAATATTCTCAACATGAATAAAATAATATAAGTATTGGTTATTTTACATTAATTGGAATACATTCTTACCGGTACATATATTGCATTGATGAAACTTCCTCGATTCGGAACAGGGGCTGAGAGATGAACACTGTATTTATCCACTGTTAAAAAGGGAACAAAAGAAAATAATTGGCCTCCAATGTGAACAAATGAGATTTGCAAGCCTGTTTTCTGAATGAATATTGTCCTCGAAAAGATATCTTTAAATACGGTAACTTTATTCAGTAATGTATAACATATAAATATTTAGTTTGAATTTAATCACACGTACATTATTTGCAATAAGGATAAGAACAATCCATTCCATTTTTTAACATATATAAGAAGAATAGATATTGCCATATACTTACAAGGCAATACACCTGTGAAATGTCCGACCTTACAAATTTCTTTGGCAATCATAAAGTCAGTGTCAGTGTATACTGGTCGCATCTTCATCAAAAGCTTAATTCACAAAGTAATGAAGATATTTATCAAGACAAGATTAGGCAATAAATTCTATTTTCAGATCAACTTGCACATTAAAAATAAAAAGATCATTTTAAACAAGAGCATGATTATGTATGGGATCATCAACTAAGTTCAAAAGTTGATGGAAAGAAATTGAACAGAAACTAACTATTTTACAAAAAAGGACTGGTTAACATATGTTAGATTCCACACATTTCCACTAGATCTCTAAACAAAAAGCTGAATTAGAGGGAAATGATTTTAAATGATTTATTTTTAATCGGATAATAAATCCCTGTAAAACACTTCTATTTCTTTTAAGTGTAAGAAAAAGAATGTCGATATTTTCATAAATCATGTAACTTACTCACCTATTTTGACTATAAAAATAAAGATTTAAATCAAATCAAATTTTGTGAAGGTCATACTCAACGTACCTGTACATGTTACTTCTCCAAGATATTTTTATTTCAAAATCTTAGTACAATTCATAAAAAAAAAGAAAACAAAAGAAAACAAACATACATACATAGAAGGAGTTTTGGACAGATATCAAATGATGAAAATCCTTTTTCTTCTCTTTTCATTAAGTAAGTATTTTTAGTTGTTGTTTTTTTTTGTTTTTTTTTTTTTTTGTTTTTTTTCATCAAAATTTGATTTAGAAAAGGTGCTCAGCATTACCAGACATCAGAGAAAAACCATTCAAAGGTACATCAATTATCAAAACTTACAAATACAGGGAAAAAGAAAAAAAATAAAACTATTTAGAGGATCCTCTACAATTTGTCTCTAAACAGTTGTACGTGTACATTTTATTGATCACAACGAATTAGAACTTTAAATACTTACAAAACAATAACTGGCAGTACATTATAAACATATTTTAATCAATGTCATCAAAAATAGAGATTTATTTTCTGTGATTTCCATTTTTCATTGCAATTCTTGAACACTTTTTCCCCATTAATTCCTTTCCACTGGGGGGGGGGGGGGGTTGGAAATTTCATTGAGCAATACTTAACGCAGCATACTCAAGCATATTTACACTTTTAGAGTAGATGAACGTCGTTAAAGTGTGTTTGTGACGTAATGATAAATTGAAGTTCTTTAAGAGGGGGTCATGAATAATATTATGACAGAAAAAATATGAAATGTGTTCTTATGAATTTTCAAACACAGGAATTTAAAAATAAAAAAAATTCTGATATATTTATTATTAAATCATTAGCACCTGTCATATTTTGTAGTAGCCATAAAATAAAGATTTTTTTAAAAAATTAATTTTGAGATGCCTCTTTAAGAAACTAGACGATAGAATTGTGTGTTTCTAACATACAATGTACAATTTAGTATTGCTCATCATATATTACAATTTGAGGAAAAAGTCTATTGTAGGATTTTTAAAATTTGCCTTGAAATGCAATTAAAAAAAGTTTTCCATATAGTCCTATAGTAATTATATCTGTGTTTTGAGACTTTGAGACCGTCCTTAAAATAACCACACTATAGATTTTCCCTAACCTTGGCACGTTTACTGAAGTCAATGTAAGTTACATATGGTATACAATTAAAGAAATGACTACTGTAGTTTTTACGCAATAAAACTACAGTGGGCTCCTTAAATATTTTTTTTATTTGGTTACCTGAAATTCTTTTCGTAAAAAACTCCGATTGGCTGGTTTATCTGTCTTCATTGTTTCGACCTTTTTTGCAAAGTCTTCGATAGTATTGATGTTAACTGGTGACTTAAATATTTCATTCAAAGCCAGAAAAATCGTCATGTACTGTTCCTGAATGAGGAAAAAAGTGTTGATAAAACTTGATTAAGAAAAAGAAAACGATTTGTCTTGTTTTCGTAATGAATTAACTTGCAGAGAAGTTCCTTGGTCAGTTTAAAACAAAATATTTTTTTTTAAATAATAGTGAGGGGAAAATGAAATGTTACATCATCGACAATATGTGACGTATACTGAAAAAAAAATATTAAACAGGAAGAAAAAAATATGAAAATATTGAGCAGGAAAAAAATGTCACCACAGAGACTTCATAATATGAACAAGAGGCCCAAGAGCCTTAACTGTCACCTGAGTATAATACAACAATTTAGAGGATCCATAGAGTATAAAATGAACTGAAAGGTGAAGCTTTGTTGCCCAAAAGCAAGAAAAATAGGGTGATCAGGATCAACAAAATAATTAGTCTAGAATTCATTAACAGTTCATAAATTAGTTCTTATCTGTTCCCCATTTATCACTATCACCAAACAGTATATTAACAAACTATCAAACTATCAGTGCTTCTGTAAAATTCTAATTCCTTGTTGAAATCTCTTACTTTGATGAACATTTAAAAAGACAAGTTGTTTTTGTCTCATTTTTATTTATCTATTACTTACAAGTCTACCTGATCATTAAAACTATGAAAGTACTTTTTGTATTATACAATAAAAATTCTTGCATAATTCTCTTATTCTATTAACCTTTCATGTACATTATTTACAGTGATTAATTATCAAGAGTAAATGGCAAAGGGGAATAACTCCTCTCAGTAGAGTACAAATTAATAGAGCCCTGGGCAGGACCAGAACACTTGACCAAATGGTCGAGATGTTCAAAAATCTGGTAAAAATACTCTTCCTTATTAAAACTTTTACTCTCTTTGCATCTGATATGCCCAAGTGCAGAGAAGAGTTTTAAAGAAATAATGTATTTTTATTACAGATTCACTATATTATCAATAGAGCCCCCCCCCCCCCCCCCTCCCCAGCGAGAAACACCAGAGCCTCTCACCCTAGGGCCAGAAGTTTGCTCATCATAAGTAATCACTTTGTTTATCTGCTTAACACTAAAAGCAGGCAGGATTATTTTAATAGGATAAATGCATTTTCACAACATAATCAAAAGCCCCACCCCTACACCAGCACATTTGACCCAGGGGTCATGCAATTCACTACTATGGAAGAAGCACTCTTACTCATCATAACTATACACTGAGCTTCTTTGCTTTTTAACCAGGAGCAGAAGAGAATATTTTCAAAAAAAAAATTTGCTTTTTCACTATATAATCAATAGAGCCCCCCTCCCCCCTTTTCACCAGAACTCTTGACCCTGGGGCCATAAAATTCAAAATTTTGGAAGAGGCATTCCTTGCTTATCATAACAATGTACTTAATTTGCTTAAATAATAAAGATTTTCAAAGAAATAATGCACGTTCACTATATGATCTATATAGCCCCGCCCTAGCACCAGAACCCCTGACCCTGGGGCTATGAATTTCACAATTTTGGTAGAGTCGCTCTTGCTTATCATAACTATATATTTAATTTGTTTAAATAATACCCAGGAGTAGAGAAGATTTTCAAAGAAATAATGCACTTTCCTTTTATGATCTAAATAGCCCCGCCCTAGCACTAGAACCCCTGGCCCTGGGGCCATGAATTTCATAATTTTGGTAGAGGGCTCAATGCGTATTACAATTATCATGCCAACAGTTTGACTGCTTGATGTCCAGGAGTAAAGAAGATTTTTAAAGATAACACTAAATTTGATGGTTTTAGCCCCACCCCTCACGCCCGGGGGGGGGGGGAGGGGGGCAGGGACCATGAAATTCACAATTTTTGTACCCCTTAATCCATTGAAGCTATATGCCAAAATTGGTTGAAATTGGCACAGTGGTTCAAGAGAAGAAGCTGAAAATGTTCAAAAGTTTACGACCGACGGACGACGTATGACGGACAACGACGGACGAAAACAGATAGCAATAGGTCACCTGAGCGACTCAGGTGACCTAAAAATTGAAAAAGGGTGAGGGTTCATATCCCCAAGTGCCCATAAATTAAATGACCTGAAATGTTTTTTTTAATATCGTTTGATATGCATTTGAAATGTAGATTATACATTTCTCATTAAGGAGCAATCAATATCTCACTTAAATATATGAATAACTCAAGAAAAAAAGGGAAAAACAATAAAATGCAAGGCAATACACATAAAGCAAAAGTATTTTTAAAAAAGTTAAATAAAATGATTGTATTAAGAAATGATGAAATTAATTAATAATTACATAAATAGATGCAGAAAAAAGCATTTAAGGTACATTGTTTGTCAAGGAACAAAAATTACGTAGGTTTGGACCATATTCATCCTGTTTTCTCTCATCTTTTTGACATATTCTGCTACGTTAACTTTCTTTCTCTTTCGCCCTTTTCGTTCCAGAGCGTCCAACGCTATATATGTCCCCGTTCTACCTATTCCTGCACTATAACAATAAAACAATATAATTGCATTAATCATACATAAAGATTTGACGAGGCCATTTTATAGATTCCTCGAAGTATGTTTGGGTATTTGTTTCACAGATTTCTAGTCTATATTCTCTATTGCCATGTTAATTCTATTTTTAGCAGAAACAGTCAGGCTGACGGTTTGTTTGAAAATTTAAAGAGGATCATCCTCCGATATTCTGCTTTATAATTCAACAACTGATTAAGTTTGAGCCATCCAGAAACATTAAAATGAAACATAATAATAATAAAATATCTCAAGACATCTTATATGTTATAACATATCAAAGATAGAAAACATAAGATTATGTTCATTATTTTAAAATCTCGACTCTAATAGTAATGCATTGTTTCAATAAAAGAACACTTGGTTTGTAATATTTTATTTATATCTACCGTAATATATAATATTAATCTAAGCTTGTATTTAAGTATTGGTAAACATCATTTGCCAAAATGTACCTGCAGTGTACAATTGTTGGAGAGTTATTCTGATTGGTTCCTGTTCTCGTCACGTGATCAAGAAAGACAACAAGACAAAGGGGATCCGGTGTTCCATGGTCTGGCCACGCCGTGTAATGGTATTGAGTCACCGTCCGTGATTCCTTTGACTACAGTAATGAATGGGATAATAGTTGGAATTGAAAAAAAAAAAACACACACACACACACACACACAGACACACACACACACAAAAATAGTTTCCTGAATCGCACCGTCTAGTTAAGGACGCTATTGCAAGGCGTCACGTGATCGACTTATGTGATGTTTAAAAAAAGAAAGTTTACGGTAACTATTTCCGAAATAAGGGGCGTGATATGAGAAAAAGTCCTCGTGGCAATATTTCTTGAACAGAGAAAGAATAAGAGTTGCAGAGTGCTGGGGAGCGTCAACGCAATTTTTTTATCCACATGTTTTGTTTTGGCACGTCCAGCTTTTGTGGTAGTTCTGAACATTGAAATCTATTTTTTTTTAATAATAAATTGAATTTATACCTGGATTTTTATGTCCTCTTGTTTTAATTAATTAGAATATTAGAATTTACTATTGAATCTAGAAGCTTCAGACGGCATGATTTTCTTAGTGATTAAACAGATGGATGAACAGATGAACGAACGCGATTTTGATTTTGATACATACGTTATAGACTAGCTTGAGGTTGCATGCTGGACAGGAACATATTTTTTTCCCTCTATAAGATCTTATATCGGCCATGTAAACATTGAATCATCGGTGCATATATTGTGTAAACATTTGTTGTAAAATGTTTTATGCATCGTATTTTGTCAAAAATTGAAACTGGACACACTTCTTCTGACAGAAAAGAAAAGTTTCTTTTTGCATATTTTTCACAAATCTAGCAAAAAATGATTTTTAAAATAATAATTTTGAAAATTCTCGAGGACATGAACAAAGACGCTTAACGCTGGCATATTTTATGAAGCGCATAAGCACGAAGGGATGCAAATTTATGTCATTCAACAATTATTTTTGAAGCTAAACAGTTTAATTCTAGTTTTGACGTCAAGTGTGGAATTATGACGTCACAATGGAGATATTCTTGCTCCCTCATGTACTCATGTACCTAGTTCATAAGAAAATGATGCGAAGAATATAAAGGAAAAAATATTTGCAAATGTAAATATTAATAAGCAAATCACTATTAATTGCCAAATAAGATATTAGGATTTTTATATATTTATTGCAGATAAAAGTTTTTTGAAACAACCCCTATTCATTCACTCTGTTCAGACAAGTGTCTACCCCCTCCCCCCTTCTCCCCCGATTCCATGTCATAGTGCAGATACCTCGATGTTTGTTCAGCGCATGAACAATTTGCCCCTTGGACCACTGTGCACTGGTTTAGAATATATATATTTATATTGATATAATAACGGAATGAATGTTTTGGAGACGGGAAAATAAAATAAAAAAAAAACAAACAAACAAATGGGCATGTTGTTATTTCTTTGAGTACATGATTTTATTTATTTATTTATTTATTTATTTTTTACTTTTGTTATTCTGATTTACATACAAAATGAACATCAACCACAAGACTTTCAGAAAAAAAGTATTTATTAATCTATACTTATTGTTTTTTTTTTTTTCTGTAGTCTTTTAACAGACTATACATATTTAAGGTTCAGCAGCAAACCATCATGCGAAAATTTATGGAATCTTATAATATTTTAGGGGGGGGGGGTGTTATTGAAATGCAGAAAGCTTCAAAATGAATGTGATGACATTACTTCATATTTTTACCATAAGTCACTTATAATAATTTGTACAAAATATATCAGTTTTAGGAAAATTCGTTGGGCAATATTTTGTCAGAACGTTGAAAAGTGCCCTTGAGGTGAAAATATTACTGCAAATTTACAATGAAATCTCCCCAAAGCAGTAATGGCATTACTACATATATCAATAGTTTCCGATACAATTTTTATTTTCATTGAATATAAAGCATATTATTTGATATGTAGTGGAAATTTTTAATTTTGTTTCAATCTTGATACATGTATGGGATACATAAAATTTCAGCTCATAAATATCAATATTTTGAAAAACAGTGGTTACCATGGCAACCATACGCGGGTATGTTAAGGCTACACCCAGAGAATCCTACTTGCCTTTACAATATGACGTCATAGTAAGCTGTATGACGTGAACTTTAGAAATAATGATTTCTTAATATCTATCTTTAAAGTTTAACTTCAGGTCCAAGAAAAAAATGGAATCATTCAAAACATAATATTAACTAAATCTTGTCGTTTTTGGGTGGTATAAATAGCTAGTTATTTAGCACGGGGGTTAAATACCAAACCAGTGACGTCATAACTATTGATCAAATATTTGCCGAGTGAAATTAATGGTGACGAGAATTCATGTAAACAAATATATGAAATGGGAGTTTTAAAGCATATACCGTGAATGTTATGTGTGATTCATAAGGAATTAAAGATTAAGAATCGGGTACGCTGATATATTCTTATCATGTTTTCTTATAATGAACACAGTCAGTGCTTGGAAGTCCCTATCAGCCGTTCCTCTGTCGTTCTATAACAACAAAGATGCAAAAGTTCAACACTACGCCGCATACTTTGAAATATAATTTTTGTTTGTATCGAAAGCTTGTATTCTATGGTACTTGGAAAGTGCTGCTAGAATCGTGTGGTCAACATGAATTGATAAAAACTCCTTGATCGTATGTATAAAATGTAAAAAATTTGGTAAGGTTTCATGCGAAACTTTGGAATATTTTTTTCTGTGTCAGGAGAGTAGGATTCTAGCAGCACTTTTCATAGCCCAGTGATGTTTTTACATACTGATTTTCACTAAAAGAAATGAATTATCACCGGGGTAGTGTTGAACTTTTCACTTTTTCATTAAGGCATTTTTTCTATTTATAGACGTCACGTGATGACGTCGTAGTGGAGTGCTTCTTTTAGCCTAAGACTCAATGACGTCTATATAATGGATAATAATAGTAAATGTTTTATCTATGGTTTTTCCGATTTATCAATGTTACATCTTACGAAAAAAGTCTAATTTTGCCGAAATATGATCTGGGTACTGCCTTAACAATCCTGCGTATCATCTTTATAAGCCTGATGATCATGGTTGACATTTTCATATTATGATACCACCAACGTAAGGCAAATTATATGTAAAAATGAGAAAAATTCATTAAGCAGATTTTCTTCATAGACCCTTGCAATCGCTTTCTTAAATCTAAAGAAAGTCTTTGTCACATAAAAGTAAGTGAAGTATGATACTTGTTTGTATATTATGGAGTTTTCTGATAAAGCTTACTTCATCGTGTCTTGCAGTCATTCTGCGTACAATAAAGAATGCGTACTCTTTTTGCTCCATCAATTGTACGAAAATATTACCATAGTTTGCATTCTTATCTACATCTGGCCAATACTGATGGCACTTTATCTGAAAAAAGAAAATGGAACATAAAATCAAAAAGAAAACTTTTAAATTAGCCTAGACAGACACTATTATGACTTACTAAAATATAAATTGAAACTAAAAAAGGAAAGAGTTAAGGGAGAAACTAAAAAAAAGTAAGCTTAAGATTACATACATGTATGATTGCCGTCAAGTTCATCACAAAAAAAACATACCCAGGGTCCTTCTCTCAGGTTTGTCAACATGACAATGGAGAACACATTTTCTTGCCAAATCATCGTCCAAAAATCGTCAAGTGTATTCTGCTTTGGTCCTACAAGAGACATATAAACGCTAAAAACAACTGCATTTTTTATGTAGATATATCTTTTCAAATATATATTCAAGATTATGTTGTAAATACACTTATTCTCAAAATTCTTGTCTGAGGCTTATTTGAAACCAAAAATGTAACCATCATACGAAAATAAATAAATAAATACAACCTATAAACATAAAATATACTGTACGAGTTTCGAGACATGTATACCTTGTGCTGCGATATACTCTCTTACGCTCACTGGGCCCTGTAAATTACGAAGACAAAGCTCAGTATCAAATTTCATACGTATTTCTTTAAGAGGCACGAATAGCTCATGTAAAGTACCAAAAAAAAAAAAAAAAACTCTGACGATTTGATATTTTCTACCTTGCAAGGAAATGATTTTTTGTTCATAGTAGTGTTACTATAAAACATGAATGTGCATGACAATGTTGTTTACCTCGATATAGTTTGCATTGATGTAGTCGGATCCTGATTTCGTTCTCAATATTACCCTTGAATGATCATCTATTTTGGAGGAAAGAGTAATATGAGTATTCTTACAATAATATCGTATAAACAGTGTAATAATAAAAAGGAAAATAAAAGTACTTAGTATTATATTATTTCAAACCTTAAAATCCACACCTTATTTATTCTCATTTGCTATATACGAGGTTCTAAGGTTTTCGGTCATGATTGTTCTTTCCAATAGGACAATTGAACATGATAAAACATTAAGGGAACACTACCGAAATACGGTGTCTGCATAAAAATTTTTGCGGTATGCGTTTGTGCGGATATCCTACTATTTTCTTCCTGTACGTTACCTTTCTTTCGCTGAATATATTTGGAAATGAGTCACAACTTTCCAATTGCCTGATTTGAAGAAGATAATTGGAATTTCTATTCACAACAAATACGCGATCGGTTTTTTTTTTTTGTTTTGTTTGTTTGTTTGTTTGTTTTTTATTTTTATTTTTTTTTTTTTTGATATCGAAAACTCTCTTTTTTTTTTAGTTCCTCGTGCATTGTACATTAAATTAATTTACTTTCGTTCGCTATTTATTGATTGATTTATTATTTATTCATTATCTTTTTTTTTTATTTATTATTATTATTTATTTATTATCTTCTTTCTATGATATATATTTTGTTATCCCCTGCCAACATAGTTTCAAAGCACTTGTGCGTGTGAGAAGTAAGCGAATGCGTAACGAACGGTACACAAACAATACTTTATATCGGGATCGATCGATCTTTTGCAAGGAGATGCTGCATTTGCTGACCACGTTTTCTTTCATGTGCTTCCTTTCCTGATCACTCTAGTCTCAGAAAAGGGCATAAATTATATAATTGTATGACATTAACATTAGAATACTATGCATTATAAAAATATATTTGGACATTTTTGTACAATCAATAACATATAAAAACAGGAGCATCTGGAACATTTGGCTATGCAATATGAGTAATTTAAAACTCCCATCTTAGAACCGTAAAAGTATTACTTGATACTTACAGGGAAATGTAGCTTTATATCTATTTTTATCAAGATTTTCCTTTCTTTTTCCGGCTTCACACTTGAATAGTTCCCCGTATGGTAATGCCTGCGGTGAACATAAATAACACCTTCCACACAGTATGTCAATATGCATAGTGCAATTTCAGTGATTATTGATATAGACTGCGTATCAGAAGTGTAAGCTTTACAAAATCATTTTAAAAGTCATATTATAATTACCCTTATCAACTTTATAATTATAAATTATGAAGTTTTCCTCTTTCTTGCTTTATTACCGCATATTCTTTTTGAAATCCGGCATCTCCATCCTTTCTTTTCTCAGCTATAACCGACTCCAGTTGATTAAGAGGTATGTCCAGCATTGTCGTTTCATTTGCATAAAAGTCTCGATAGGGATTTTCCAAGTGTATCAACTCATCTTCATCGACATCAATATCATGACCCCTCGTCTTGCGTCTAGAATGTGTAGGATTTCCAATATCTCTATGTTTACTTCTTTGTTGTTCGGTTGAGGACTGAGGTTTTGAATTAATGGAAGTAGAATTTGCACCACCAATTCCCATTTTGTCTGAAAACAGATAAAATCCAACAGTCATTCCTGAGTTTGGTTAATGTAGAGTATGGAAAAAAAAAAAACATTTCAGGCAATTACAATGCTTTGTTCCTCCAATTTGTCCACTTCCGACTTCTTGTAGACTGCGCCTGGAACATGAGAAAATTAATAGTACTAGTAAAAGCAAGTCTAGATCTATGGTTAAAGACATTTAATAAGGCGCTCTTCTTCTATTCCAAGGCAAAAAAGGTAATCGCTGGTTATTTTAAAGAATATATAAAACATATTTATTTACATACGTTATAAAGTTTATGAATGAAGCATAGCAAATTAAAGAATTACCTTCTTAGAACCAGAATCAGAACAGCTACAACGATAACAGCAATAACAAGTCCACAGATCCCTCCAATGACGGAGCCAAGTGTACTATTAGCGTAAGTCTGCAATATGTGTTGAATATATTGATACAATTTCCACTGTGTAAGTAGGGATAGAAATATCATGTCTTGTTCGGAATATATATATATATATATATATATATATATATATATATATATATATATATATATATATATATATATATATATATATATCCAATGAAAAAATCAAGAATCACAAGACTCGAATAATCATTTTAACTGTAAGCGCTTTCTGCCTTTTAATGGCTCTTCAGACAGTTACAAAATGAATATGAAATTGCTTAGTAACGTTCATAAGCACGACGTCAATTATTGTCCTTTGTGACGTCATAATAACGTTAAAAGGTAGCATCATAATTCGCACAGTTACAATCACTTGTAATTCAAAAACAAATAGAAAATTAAATAGAAAATTAACTCTGAAGCAATTATTTTCTGTTAAGTTTTGGGTTAAATAATTTAATAAAGTAGTCCTCCTTTGCTACTCTGGATATTTCACAGTCATTGTGCATTTTATAAAATGGAAATATTTTAAAATTGCCTTTCCCACAGGTAGCAACCCAGATAGCGAGACATTGTTGGGCAAACGTTGGCCCAATTTTTTTTCCAACGTTGGCCCACTGTTGGTAGTCCTACGTTGGCCCACGGTCATTTTGCTCATCGGCCCAACGTTGGTCCAACATGATGGCATATTGTTGGGCCAACGTAGGTATAATTGTAAGCCAACTAACAGCCAACCTTAACAACTGGTTGGTTAGGTTGGCCCAATGTTGGGCCTTTGTTGAAATGTCTGATGGCATATTGTTGGGCCAACGTAGTTATTATAGTAAGCCAACTAACAGCCAACATAGAAACAACATTTGCAATCGGTTAGTTAGGTTGGCCCAACGTTGACCCTTCATTGAATGATTGGTCCGATATTTACGGTTTATTGGCCTTAAGCTTCTTTCTGTTGGGCAATTGTTGGATGAAACTTACATCTGTTTAAATAAATTGAATGAATACTTCTTGAAAATACATTTATAAATAATTCTTTATATAGACCTTTCTCATAATTGTTTAAAAAAAATAATACACACTTCAACCTGCATTCATAATGCATACATGTTCAAAGAAAACATTACAAGTGATTCACTGTAAAATTATTTTATAGATATATATCAATTTAATCAGAATTTACAAAATTACTTTTAAAATAGATAATGGTGGAAATGTATGAAAAAAAATATTAATTTAAAGTTCTTAATCCTGGCTCACTTCCTCTATCACTGTCCTTTTGTTTTGTTTCCCGCTCTTTCTTTTTTCCTCCCTTTGTCGCCTCCCCAGGCCTCCATCTTGATCTTAGGCATACGTACTTCATACAGTCCTTTATGTTCTTCAGTTTCATTGTCATGCAGTTACCACTACAACATTTGTTTTCCTTACAGTCTCTGATTGAAAATACAAATAATTTGGTGTTGGAAACAAAGCAAATACTGGTACAGACTCCAATATATAAATCATGTAATTAAGTCTTTTAAAGACAACGATGTAAAATACTACTAGTACATGTTGATCTATAAACCTTAGTATCCTTGTTAAAATCATAATCGTGTATGCAATAGACAATAGATGGAGACAAGTCGAAAGATGTTTTTTACCTTACTTATTATTGTATTTCTTAATGAGCACTAAAAGTTATTGTCAATAAAAGTTTAAAGTACATGTATGTGCCAACTGTATACACATATATAATTCATATTTACATTAACTTACATAGTGCTTGTGAGCATAAACAAGAAAAGGATGAATTCCAAACAATTTTAACAGTAAACTTGAATTAATAAGAATAATTATACTTACATCGCAGCTGTAACAATGGTATAATCCATAGTTTTTAAATCTCCCTTCTCACTTGCTCTGCATTTTGAGTCTATCACCCACCTGTGAGCAATTGAATCTGACAGCTCACTCAACAGTTTGGTGTTTTAATCGCCGCGACTGTGCAAGCTTTAGCGAACGCCTAACTTTTGTTTCAATTTAATTATAAAGCTGTGTAATCTTGATTTATGTATATGTAGGCTTCATTCACATCCTGTTCTTGGGAACTTTTTAAATGTTATTCAGTCTTCTCTTATTCTCGTTATACAACGCTCATGAAATAATTGATAATTTAGAGCTAAGGATTTTAAAACTAATAAATAATCATGCACCCTCTTAAAAAAAAACAGAACAAAAAACTTTTTGGTGCTGTGGTCACTTTAGTTCAAAGATAAGAATGGTGAAAATATCAGATCTAAACAGATGCAGTCATCCAATTAAAAGCAAAGACAGCGAATACCCTCTATTATTTCAGAATGTGCATCTAAATTAATGTTTTGCATTCAAATAAGCTTGCAACACAACAGTTCAATGGGACAACATTGGGAACATAACGATTTAAGAACTTGGAACCAACGTTGGCCCAACGTAACGCTCATCAGCTTACATGGGCACCATCATTTAGTTGGCAGTACAATAATTGGGCCAACATTGGCCCAATATAAATATCCCATCTTGAAACACTTATACATGCTAACATCGGGCCAACGCTGGGCCGACGTACTACTACCAACTTGATTAGACATTTTCAGTAAGGGTGTATTACAAACGTTGGGCCAACGTTGGGCCAACATTAGAATCCTAACTCCCTTTGAAAGTTGAGCGAATATAAAAGTTGGTTACGTTGGACCAACGTTGGGCCAACATGGAAATCCCAACATCATCAAGAAGGTTGACATGGTTACATTGGTCCAACGTTGGCCCAACGTTGTCCACCCAACGCCAACCATACAACCATTTACCAATGTTGGCCCAACGTAGTCATGCTATCTGGGAAAGTGCTCACTGCACGGCGTATTTCTTATGTCAGGGTCCCGAATTTGTTGTTTATGGACTCACACACGTGCGTTCAGTTTGCTGGTTTGTCCTATGTAGTATTCATCACAGGTTGGACAGGTTATGCAATAAATAACATTTTCTGACTTACAGGTCATGTTGGCGTTTGGTGTTAATTTTTTACAACATTTTAGAGTTTTTTCACTGCCCTCCTCCAGATATAAACATGTTCCACAGCGTGGGTCACGGCACTTTTTGACGACTTTGGCATTGTCCGATGCAAATCTTGCTCTGGTTAGGATTTTCTTTAGATTGGGTGCCTGTCTCCTGCTATTAATTATTTATTAATTATTAACCATTTACAGGAATCAATTCAGTTCACTATGCAGATGAGTGACAGTCAACTGCCATTTTTGGACCTCCTTCTAATTAAGGATGATACCAAAATAATTACAGACCTGTACTGCAAAGAAACAGATTCGCACCAGTATTTGGATTTTCATTCATGTCACCCATCGCATACTAAACGTAATATTCCATACAACATGGCAAGACGCATATGCACAATAGTAACCGATACATCTTTACGGTCAAAAAGGTTAGAAGAATTTAAATCATATCTCAAAAAACAACATTATCCGGAGAATCTTATAAATGCCGGAATTGAAAAGGCAAAAAGCATCCCTACGTCTATACTAAGGAACAATCGCCACAAGGATGATAGTGAAAAAAGCGACATCCCTTTTGTTGTAACGCACAATCCACGCAACCACAATATTTTGAAAACAGCCAGGAGATTTTTTCCCATTTTAGAACAGTCTCAAAATTTAAAAGACATTATCAAGGAATCACAAATAATTAATAGCAGGAGACAGGCACCCAATCTAAAGAAAATCCTAACCAGAGCAAGATTTGCATCGGCCAATGCCAAAGTCGTCAAAAAGTGCCGTGACCCACGCTGTGGAACGTGTGAATATCTGGAGGAGGGCAGTGAAAAAACTCTAAAATGTTGTAAAAAATTAACACCAAACGCCAACATGACCTGTAAGTCAGAAAATGTTATCTATTGCATAACCTGTCCAACCTGTGATGAATACTACATAGGACAAACCAGCAAACTGAACGCACGTGTGCGAGTCTATAAACAACAAATTCGGGACCCTGACATAAGAAATACGCCGTGCAGTGAGCACTTTGCTATCTGTGGGAAAGGCAATTTTAAAATATTTCCATTTTATAAAATGCACAATGACTGTAAAATATCCAGAGTAGCAAAGGAGGACTACTTTATTAAATTATTTAACCCAAACCTTAACAGAAAATAATTGCTTCAGAGTTAATTTTCTATTTAATTTTCTATTTGTTTTTGAATTACAAGTGATTGTAACTGTGCGAATTATGATGCTACCTTTTAACGTTATTATGACGTCACAAAGGACAATAATTGACGTCGTGCTTATGAACGTTACTAAGCAATTTCATATTCATTTTGTAACTGTCTGAAGAGCCATTAAAAGGCAGAAAGCGCTTACAGTTAAAATGATTATTCGAGTCTTGTGATTCTTGATTTTTTCATTGGATATATCAATACTTTACTGTGCCAAAAATTGGATTTTTCATTTAGTATATATATATATATATATATATATATATATATATATATATATATATATATATATATATATATATATATATATATATATATATATATATATATATATATTAGATACAAGGTAAAAGATTGTATTTTATATAAAGCACTAAAATGACCAACGACACGAACAATATAGTACATAGGTTCCCAGTCATCTTTTGGACGATAGAATTTATATTTTTCTTAGTCATGGAATAGTGACTGGGAAAAGCCGCACGAATCTTTCTCGGTGTCTTTTCTTGAGAAATGCTCCTTCAGTCGTAGTCTCCGAAAGAATGCTCGAGTGTCCTCTCTGACTTGTTTTTCCTCGACTTCGTGTGGCGTGGGACAGAAATTCAGTCAATTTGAATGAAGTGAGATTTCTGATTCAGAAAGAGGAACATTGGATTTTGTTAAGCACTGGGCAGACGTCAAGAGTTTATGAGGATTCGTCCAACGTGTTGATCTTTTTGCGCTTGAAGAGTCTTGAGCGGGTTTTTTTGTGATTTACTGACTACTAAGACTTCTCTCCCGTTGATCTTGGTCTGTGAAACACGAATCCGACAAATTCCCACCTGTATCTCATGCCGTCAAGATGTCATCCCCAATACACATTCAAAGGTGTGTCTAAGGGTCTAACCACTTGAATCCGCCGCATCTGTTCATCCTCTGCTTCATACCAAGAACAGAGCAATCTCCTAAAGTTCCATTTATGCAGGAAAGGCTACAAAGCCCATACCGTACAAACTGCTATTGCTGAGATAGCAGGACACGACAGACAATACCTTTTACATTACAAAGAAAAAAACAGTAGCAGCTGGGTTCCACTGGTAACCACATACTATCCTAACCTCAAGGAACTCAACGATATTCTTAATAAGAACCTCACAGTTCTTTACTCCAACAAAAGAATGGCTGAGATCTTACGGGAACTTCATTGGCTGCCTATAGGAACTTGAAGGATATGGAACATGTAGTAAGAATCAGATTGGACAACCCATTACCCAACGGGGGTTTAAAACTTGTTATGACAGAAGACGTCTTCTCTGTAAACACAGCTCTGACACAGACAGTTTTAATAACCCGATATCAGACCGCAGCTTCAGAATATTAGGGAACTTCTCCTGTCAAACAGATAACTGCGTTAATCTCATCAGCTGCAAAGTACATGTATGTCAAAAGCAATATGTTGCGGAAACGGGGATCTCCGCAGAAGAATCAATAATCACCGCTCGACCATTAAGACCAATAAAATCAATGAACCAGTTGGGGAACACTTCCACTTTGAAGGTCACAAATGGGAGGACATGACAGCAGTGGTTACTAAATATATAATCCAATATGGACAAACGCTCAGAGAAAAAGCAAGGAAAAGTTATCGATGCACAGATTGAAGTCATTCCGCCCTAATGGCATGAACAAACTAAATGACTTCACCAGCATGAACGTAAACTAGATCAAATTCCTGATTGTGACAAACAAGAACATTCTCTCCATATAGTGCAATCTTTACAGTTAATTTACATTATCAATTCCGGAACAACCACATTTTTTTTGCTTACATTTTGGTTTATTATTTCTTTTATCCGAAAAACAGTCCTCAAAACATTTCAAAATTTATAAAAGATCCTAATTCATATTTTAAAATTTCCCATCTACATTATCTTTCTTTGGTTTCTTTTATAATGTATAGTTCTGCTATTTTGAGAGAATAAGGCAGTGCACGATTTACTACATGGTCGTAATTAATTAGCGATAATTAATTCCTACAATTATGTAAATCGCACTTCTCCAGAGTACACCCGACAGACCTGACGTATTTCGTAGCAGTCCGGATCTCATTCATTTCAACTGGTTATAAACTTCAAATTAAACATGTGACATTGTAAATAATTATATATTGTTTGATAGTTTAGTAGTAGTGCTATCTGTTGTTTCTCTATTTCTTGAGGAAGGGACAGGGCGTCAAGATAATTTGACAATTTTTAATTGTTAGTGTCATTGGTCATTTTTGGTGCTTTATATATATATATATATATAGAGAGAGAGAGAGAGAGAGAGAGAGAGAGAGAGAGAGAGAGAGAGTTACAAATACATTTGTATCTTTTTAAAAAATCTATTAATAAAAATAATATCTTTTCAAAGTAGATTCTTATTTCTAAAACATTATGAGAGTATCCTTTGAGAATGCTTTGGGAGAAAAAGAAAAGAAAAATCACCTTTACCTTTGGACAATATCCAGTGACAGAGTCACAGGTATTATTAATACAGCTTGTGCTACAGTTGTTTAAGCAGTCAAACCCGTATGTGTCCGAGCTACAACCTGAAAACCAACATAAGATGCAAAGAGATCACACCTAATGAGACAGCTGAATATGATACGGGTAATGTCATCCCACCTTTTGGTGAACTCATAACTCTTTGCATTATATATCCTGATAAATGATGGTCTCTCTTCAACCTTTTCATTTCCAAGTATTCTGTTACTACTTTTAAGGTACGTGCATATTGCTGATGTCCAACGCCATTGCTTGTTCACAGGACAACATCATTTTTTTTAGAATTCCATACATTATATCTGCGATAAACTTTGGGGACAATTGCTGTGAGGAATCTCGAACAAATAGATGAAGGTGCATACAGATTTTACCTTTATATTAACAATTTTCAAACAATGCATAGTTTCCCATGTATTAGCAAAAACCAAAAAAAAAAAGCTTAAAGACTAACTGAAAGTTAAAGAAATGCACTTGACTTCATATAATTCTATGCAGCTGGAGAAAAATAAATGGTTGAAAATGATAGAATCGTAGTGTGTGGACAGATGGGTAGCTGGGAGGAAAGCAAAATATTAGCAAGCAATATTCCTTAGGATTAGAAAAAATAGGAAATTTGCATGATATGCATACCCTGAGTACAGTGTATTTCTTTGTATCCTTTTGCGCATCCATTCAAGCAAATCCCATTGATGTGATGACATTTCGTTGAATATCGACAGTTCCCACAAGGCTTACTACAGTGCTTTCCGTACACATTGCCAGAACATTCTATTTGAACAGAAAAGGGGCTAAATTTATCCGAGGAGCACCTTTCGTTTATTATTATTATTATCATTATTATTATTATTATTATTATTATTATTATTTTTTTTTTTTTTTTTTTTTTTTTTTGAAAATTATGATATAAAGATATTTACCTACATATGGATCATAAAACATCTTTACAATATGTATATATTTACAATGTATAATACAATATAACCTTTTGTTCAAATCACTTAAAAAATATTTGTATCTCTTTATTTTACCTTAGATTAGCTACATATTTTCTGGCGCACACATGTATCATAAGATACAGAAAACAAACATATTTTTAAATCAATAGTAGACTTGGTCCCAACATCTAACATCTTATGTGTTTTTATATATTAATTTAAATATAAATTCCTATCTTTACTGTTATTACTTCTGAATGAAATAACATACTATAGGGATTTTCTTTTGTTCTTTGAATTATTATGTTAAGGCTACGCCAAGAAATTCTGACTTGGCGAAATCTGTGAAACGATCTGCAATCACAGTAATCTGTATCAAGTGAACTTTACAGCTGATATTTTTTTTTAAAAAATATTTTTATTTATGGATTTATCTTAACAGCCAAAAATAATACAAAGACATTGAAACAGAATGGACGCAAAAGCTTTCATTTTCTAAAGCTATATAAAACTAAGAATTTATCACAGGGTTTATGTACTTTACAATAACGTCATCAAAATCAAATTTTGTATGAATGAACGAGAAAGCTATACTCTGATCGCATTGAAGTCCCTCCCAGCCCGGCTGACATCCTCCTTGACATTCTCCAGTTGTCCGATTACAAGTTTTTGGTACGCCGCAGTTGACGCTACAATTCTGTTTACAGTAATTTCCAAAAGTTCCCTCCGGACAGGCTATGATAAAAAAAAACAGTTACAAACTAAACATGATACACTGATACATTTCCTTAAAACGTTCTTCAGGACATCCATTTTTTTACCATATATGTTTGCATTTAAAAAGAAATATTTATATTTTAATTATTCATGAATGCTAGATATTGAATATGTGAAGGAAACAGAACAAACAAGAAGTAAAAATAAAAGTAGCAAATATGATACAAGAATCATTTCGTTAATAAAAGTTATCATTTTATAGTCTATATATAGTCCCTTTCAAATCTACACAACGCAAAAAGTTCATAACACTACATATTCACTAGATTTGAGGCCGTATTCACCGGAGGCACAGTGTGCGGGCAGCGGCGATTGTGACGTCCCAAAGATAAAGGGTTGCAACGGCCGGAGCAAGTCGTGTATATGAGCATGGAAAAGGTTTGGCAAGCCTATGGCCAGATTATTATCAGAACAATTTAACGTAAAATGATGTCTCACAAACTACGAAAGGAAACACAGAGGTACCTTGGTAAATGTACCAACCCCCTCCATTAAGGACACGTGTGTGAGACAGTTCCTGGCAGACTAAATGACGTATTAAAGACGACAGACAATTTAACAAAGTATTGAGGGAAGATAACTTTTAATCTTGACTTTTTTAATCTTTGTGCGACAGAAGTTGGTTAATGAAAATGGTGTCATCATGCAGCCTTCAATGTCTTATTTATTCGAATACGACTATATAATGGCACAATTTTAAACTCTGTTGGAGGTGAAAATGGTTTGATATTCACTGTAAGAATATTGATATTGACATCTGTTTCGCCTCGTCAATATTGGTATTTTTCTGGTGAAATATCAAACCATATTCACCAACCAAGAGTCTATTTATTGCTATTCAAGGTAACGTGTTAATATTACAACTATAAACTTTTTTTTCTTAGAAATTCTTTAATCTTATTTATATTTCAGCATTGTATTGGTATCCATGTAAATTGATTAAAGCAATGATTTTTTTTTCACGGAGTCCTCAAGTACATAAAGAACAACAATAAATTATTGATTGTATGCAAACAAATATCCAAATATGTTCCTTTTTGATAGCAAAGCACAATTCATTACCAAATTTAGTCCTAATTAAATATGAAAGGACAATGTGTAAATACATGTCATATCCTCAAAAATTCCTCAGTATAATTTTTTGGACAGGGATCGACACGCCTGGCTGAAAATGAAAAGTTGTTACTGACTCTAGATTTCTTACAAATTTGATCGAACTTACGTGTTTTGCATCTATTTCCGAAAAATCCAACGTCACATCCGTTTTCACATCTCCCACTTACATGGTAACAAGTCGCTCTGTTCATACACTTACCACAGCGTTTCTTGCAAGCATCACCATAGTAATAACGATTACAGGCTGATGACAAAAAAAAAAATAATTAGTTGAATATATTACGTTTGTGCCCTATTGTCATTAATAATAATAATAATAATAATCTCATAATTTTTCATTTAAACAATAAATATAAATTATGATTTATTTATGTAGTAACTTTTTTTTATATCTTACTTCTTACAAATCATACAAATAGTACAAATACAAAATAAGGTAAACCGCAAACAGAATATGATATATAAATATCATTTACGTTTTTTTTTTGTTTTTTTTTTTTGACACGTATTACATATTATCTATTTCATTTAAAGTGATTTGCATTAGGTTTTCTTGACAAATCAGTTTCAACATGTTTCTGTCTATGACAGTTCAAGATAAATACAAAACACATTTTTGGATACATGTATCCATTATCTAACTACAATGACACCATTATTTGAATAAGAATCCTTAAAACGACTTCGTAATTAATTTCTGTTTACAGGCATACTGTAAACCAACTATTATTCGCGTCATCTTTTATTCGCGATTGGTCAGTTTAAAATCAATCTGCGACGATTAATTTCCGCAACTCAGGAAACATTCTCTAGAATTACAAAGTAAAATAAATGGTTCGCGGCGATTAATATTCGCGAGTAAATGTAGGTCGTGAAACTCGCGAATATTTCTCTCACGCAAATAAAAGTTGGTTTACAGTATCTATTTCTGTATATGTTCCCAAACACAGTCATGTTCTTTTGCTACTTATCTTTGGTTTTCTTTTCTATATTTAAACGTCATTCTAATTTCATTTCAGCCCATAAAATAAAGATTGTGGTTGAAAAAAGAAATTATGAAATATCAATTTCTCACTACTTTATGTTGAATGTTCAAATCGAAACTAGGCGTTTGTTCGATGAATCAATCTTCGTTTATGAAATCATTAAGAGTGCAGCGATACTGCCTTTTCGTATAATTCCGAGAAAAAAAATCTCAAAATTATTTTAACATTAATAATTGTCATTTTAATCTTAAAGAACAGGAAGATGTTAGAAATTTGAATTTCTTCGTAGCATTTATTCTCAAAGAATGTACAATACGTTACATGTAAACCTACACAATAATTTTTCAATTCGGTTTAACTTCTTTTTTTCTAATATAGGATAGCTGACCCTTACATTTTTAAGTGTAGATATATTTTATCAATTAATAGTATACAGAATCCTAATATTTCAACAAACTTCGCTATTTGCACCAATGTTTTTATTCTGAATGGATTTTCAAAGATGATTTGGTTTTCATAGACTTACGTAGTTCACATTGATGACCTTGGTACCCAGGCTTACATCCTTGACAAACACCATCTTTTATATCACAATATCGGCAGGTTGGATTGGGACAAGATAAGGAACAATTATATCCATAGAAACCGCTATTGCAACCTTTAAAAAAATGTACGAAATTATAGAGATAAACAAAATGCCTTAGGTTCCATGGTTCAAACAAATATAAATCTACTGCAAGTGTGCATTGATATATGCCAGCCCCTACTTTTCTGTCTTTAAATTATCCCTAATCAAACTTTGAGACCATTGTTGGCTTTATCGTAGCCTGGGGTCATGATTTTTAAAAAAAAATCCTCATAGCATCGGGAATAAATAAATGAATGTGTCTCACTGTTTCCCATTTTGTTCCTTTTTCAAATGTTAAACATCCAACAAAATTTAACCATTGGGTCCATGGGTTGAGAATAGAAAATATTCTCTATATCCTAATGAAAAAGATGTAGATAACAAACAGTGATTGAAAAAAAAAACAAAAAACAAAAAAAAAAAAAAAAAAAAAATACAAAGGAAAATTATCAAACAATACAACTTTGTGAAGAATATTTAGAACACGGACCCCTGGATATTCCAGAGGTTGGATCAGGTGGCTAGAATTAGTAAACATGGTTCTTAAATATTGCAAAAATATTATTTTCAGCAATTTCTTCCTATAGTTTGCTGGTCAGTTGTACGATATACATTTCAAGGGACGAGAAAGTGAGAGACCGATAGTGCTTGTGTAGTCCCTTTATCTGCTATCACTATACTAGATGAAAAGTTTGTTTATCAACTTAAAAAAAAAAACATTTCCAAAAAATGCCAAGTTCATTTTCTGAACCTTTCAATTCATATACAGTTTTTGAATAATAATTTAAAAAAATAATTTACATTCAACGAGATCAAAGAATAAATATTTTCTCTCAGGTTAATACATGTAGTACAATTTCCTGCATTTCACAATTAGCGATTTTCTGGAGTCAAAAATTACTTTGAGCAGCTATTGTCTTACCTTGTCTACCTGAACTCTGAGTGCCCCGACGGGAAAGAATAAATCGATGAAAATAATTTGTTGAAAAATTTATTGACTATTTTAGATCAAACACGTAAAGGGTAAAGTGCAACCAATACACACATTTACCTTGGCTTGATTCACGCATAATTTTTGTATACCAAAATAGTTATGAATAATTTTACAAATATCAATAATAAAATTGTTATAATTTTAAAAGGTTTATCTTTATGAGAAGGTAACAATTTATTAAGAAAAAAGTACTGTTTTTTTTAATTAAACCTATAATACATACACATTTTCACACAACTGCAATGTTTCTTTGAAGGGGCAGTACCTATCAGAAAATATCAGCACTTGTCTAAGTTTTTTGTGAGTGTGTGTTTTTTTTTTTTTTTATTATTATTATTATTATTATTATTATTTGTTTTAATTATTTTTATTTTATTTTTTTCAGCAGGGACAGTAAAATGGATTAGTAATTTTCTAACTTTATCAGCACTAACAAAGTTTATCACAACTTTAATTTTATCTTCACCAGCATTAAAAAGATCAGTATTTTTCTACATTTTGCAGTACACACAGTATATTGACAGTAACTGTCTATAGTTGTCAGTGAAAAATAGAAATGTGAGCTTGTTTCTGGCTCAGTAGTGTTTGTAGATATGTAAATTTCCCTGCAACAAAAATGAATTTAAAGATGTACCGTATACTTCCACTTCACACAAATCAGTGTGTGCATCTCTAGAAAAGTAACGTGCATTTGTTGATTCCTGGGGTCTTTTGTTGAAATAAATGACGTATTGCCCATGTACAGGACAGGTTAAGTTAACGACAGCTGGTATTGTGGATCTGGTGTAGTTTGTGTCGTGAAAACATAAGTGACCATCTTCAATGCTTGTTGTGTTTGATATATACACATAAAATCCTAGAAATCTTCCTGTAAAATTATTCTTAGCATCTACAATGAATATAAAAGGTCGCATAATTTTGTATTGTGACAAAAACGTTTTAGAATTTTAAATACACCATTCTTATGATGATTTATCTCTGCTATCACTTGTAGGGGAAAAAAATCAATAAAATTTTGCAGATTTCAAAAATGCATTTAATCTAAATGCGTCGTATTACGGTAGCTGCCATTTTCTTCTTTTATTATTGTAATTGTTATGCACGTGCGACATTTTTTTTTCTGCAAGGTTAAATGAGTAAAGTATTTTTGGGGGTGGGGATTATAAATATGTAAAATTATTGAAATATAAATATAATTACTCCATTTGACTTTGTCCGTCCTGTAATAAATCCTTATATCATGAATGCTGTGGATAGATGTCAAGTCAACCCACCAGGTGGCGTTTCGGTGTCCATCAGCTGATACAGCACACTGTCCTCCAAAGGCCGAGAGGTCAGTCTTCCGACCATCAACAGCATTGTTTGAATGGAATGTAGATGTGCGATATCTGTTACTAGCATATACATGCGATTGATTTGTTGGTTGTTTTAAAGCTATGTTTACTAAGGATAAAGAAAAAAATAAAATCATTTTTGTAACATAATGTTTGAAATTAAATTTATGTCAACCTCCCCATACATTTACAATATAGGATCAAGGACACAAAAATCCCTTTTAAATTCAACATATCGCAAATAGTGGCTGATATAATGATCTTGTTTGCAAATACAATATATACATGTAGTTAAACTGAATATTGAATGATGTAATTCATACAGTTTGTTTGGCCATTATGTCTGTATATTTTTTCCCGTTTACCTGATCGCAGAGAGGATGTGACCGGTCGAAGGGAATGTTACTCCCCCATGGAACCTAATCCAACCTCTGATCTATGAGATCCTTGTTTTCTTTTTCTTCCTTTTTTCCCCTTATTTGCATGGATTATTTTAATTTTTTTTGTGTTTGTTTAATTGTTTTTATTATTTATTTTTTCATATATTTATTATTTACTCGAAGTTTTTGGTACTCCTCTTGTTGGTACTGGTTATTTGTTCGTTTTATTTTTTTTTCTAATTTAATTTGATTTTACTTTTATTATTATTTTTTATATTTATTTGTTTTGATTATTTTTGTTTTCTAAAACTCATTGCAAGGTTTGTTGTTTTATTTGCATATATTAATCTGTTTAATTACATTATTTAATATACATTGGGTAAACATGAAACAACACTACGATCCCCTGCTGGTGATCAATGAGTCAAAATAAGTCTAAATGCAAGACAAAAATGACCTGATACAAAAGAAATTGATTATATTCCCTAGAACGTCATTACTCTCTTATGACTAAAAAAGCTCCCTTCGTTTTCGAAACATTAACAACCTAATTGGTAGGTTGACTTTAACGTGAAAATTTTAAAAACCAATAAATCAACCATTTTTAAAGGTATTTTCTGACTTTTGAACTTTATAGATATTGTCATTTAATCTTATCTTTATAATTTGAAGGTAGAAGGACCATTGTATATTAGTATTCCTGATATAAACATCTATATTTTTTTTCTGAATACAAATACTTAGACTTACTATATCCATGGGTACAACCAATAACAAGTACGATGAACCACATTGTTGAGCTTTCGAGCATCATGTTACGAGATCCCTTCACTTTGTACATGTACATTGATGTAGAAGTTGTTGCCTACTGAGGATAAATACAGAAAGAACGTTAAAAGATCATCCCATGGAGTCAGAGGATACTTCATAGTTACAATACTCTATCAATTGATGTCGATTTTACATCAGAAAAGGAAGCCCCTCTTTCCGTTCGGTTAAATTTGAAAAGACAGAGGAAGTACATTGCGAAAACATTCAGACAACCGCGTACTGTATATTATAAAGTTGGCGAACAAACTTAGAAGGATCTTGAAGATTTAAGACTTTTACTGAAAAGTATTTTTATCATACTCATATTTTTATAGTAGCAGTTGATTCAGATTTTATACGCTCGAACTCGAGCTTATGTAATAATTGTATTAATTTTGGATGGTAAGTGTGAAATGGGGTAGAGATTATTTAGCATTTAAGAACACTAGCTATGGATGTTTTAAGCATTAATAATACATATCAATATTCGGTACGTTAGAAATGGACATGTGTATTTTGATAGTTCTCTCACATAATACATGCAAGTTGATTTTGGTCCAAGGAAATAATGTAATGCACAATTCATTTAGACAAATTAAATGTTAGTCACTGGGTTAAGAAGGTTTTGGAATGTTTAATTCTGTGAGACAAAACTTTGTACCGGAGAATCTTACTTGGCGCAAAAATAGCTTGTGACTAAGTCTGTTATTATTCTTAGATATACATATATGTATATAGTTACTATGACTAAGAAGATAAATTTTCCATTAATTTTGATGCCCCGATGTTAAAGGTCAAAACATTTTCGACATAAGGAGATGTATTCGATGAATATTTTGAGAAAGAATCCTTTGCTTGACAGACATCATTCTTGACATACTGGCATCCTCTAATAAGTAAACGAATATTTTTTTCATCTTAGAAGTTTAAAACTTAAATTTCTCCAACATGAGCATTTAATGTCTGTTCAGTATCTTTGGTACCATTTGTATAATATGTACAAAACGACAATATGTACCGTCACATTATGTTAAAACCATTCTAATACTAATCACTGCAATATTAATGCACTGTTTAAATGTCGACTGGATACAAAACAATTAAAAAAAGTAGTTTTGCAGAATGAAACATAACCGTGAATAACATAGATGTAGGAGCACTGAAGCAGTTGATCTTTAATATATCTTTCATATTTGAATTTACAAATGGATTTTAAAAACGAATCTCACTTCATGTAATTAAGAAGAAGAAAATTGTTGATATTCCTCCGAATGGAATTCATATAATTTTCTAAAGAAAAATAAAAAAAATTGAATGCATAAATATGACATAATAACAAACATCAGTTTTAAGTTATTGTTTGTGTGTGTGTGACAGAAAATAACACCCTGATTGTTATATCACTGAATATCGATAAATTAGCATTTAAGTATGCCTTAATCAACACATTGAGATATTTTTTTTTTAAACCTTTTTTTTAACTATAACTATTACTTTCTTTTATTGTAAAGCTTTTTGATGCGTTTCTTAATAATTTATACATCATTTACTGTTTTACCGATTTGAATTACTGATTTCTTCTATTTGTATGATAAGAGTAAAAATGTAATTGACAGGTGTACAAATAATCTTAGTACGTGGATTTCTTAGATAAGGGATTTCTATACAACGCTAAACAATTATCGTAAATAAGTTAAATTATTATTTCCCTGAATAGTGCCTTGATAACGTGTTATGTCAAACAAATTATTCACCCCTGAACTGAAAAGCAAATTGTTTTTTTTTTCTCTTATTAATGAGTTAAATCGGCTTAAATTCAATTACATTGTATGTAACAATTAAAGTATGATTACTCGATCGTTTTTGAATTTCCTTTTGCACATTTTGCTGTAGTTTTAAAAAAAATAGAATTCCTCATTACTGTACAGGAAAAAAAAAACGGTGGGTGAGCGCTAAGTGAATGTATATAATCGAAAGAACAATGAACACTGGATGATTGTAAAATTAGGGCGGTGAAGTGTTCCAGGAACAGTAGATCAACTGTATGCTATAGCTAATAAATACTGAAACGAGATTACACAACCTTCTTGGTAAAATTGAAATGATAGAGAATGCAAACTATTAACTATATTTACAATGTATATTTCTTCCTTTTTTATACCAATATTTTCTGTATCTAAATAGAATGTTTAACATCCTGTTGGCAGATTATGCATAGAAGTGCTCTGTAAAATATAAGAAATTGATACTGTTTGGCGTTACTTTGTGGTGTAAATATAAGAAAGTAAAAATTTCTTTTAACTACTGTTGGGATTTATTTTCTTCTAACAAGCCAAACAATTATGCTAACACTAGATTTAACAACTGAAGAAAAGCGATCTCTGAATTATTATTTCTGTCATTAAAATATGGTGCATCAAACGACAATCCCAATTTTATTAATTTATATTGTGCCCGCTGCTTTATTAGTAGTGTGTGTGTGTGTGTTTGGGGGGGGGGGGGGGGGGGCGGGGGGGGGGGGGGGGGGGGTAGTGATGGACATATCAGTTTGTACGTCCGTTAGTCCATTTGTTAGACATAGCAATTACCATCCCTTATCCGCAACTTCTTTTATAGTAAAAAAGGACACTGTGATTCTTTTTTTAAACTATATTATGATGTATTTGGAAAGTGGAACAAACACAGGCATCCTCGACAAAATTATGAGTACATCATATACAACACATACTAGCTCATTGCACTTTTAAGGTTGGAGACGTAAACCTCATTTAATGTATATCATTTTCTTATGGCAAAAAACATTTTGATGCCCTTGCACTAGCGTCATTTTCTACAATCAGCCTGACAATTCTATTTTTTATATCAGCCATGTGACATCAAGCTGATACATGCAATTTAACTGGTACTTATTACGACACAAACCCACTTTTTATTGGTAGCTATATTACCTTTCCTACACTTATTTCGTTACTATTTTTACACTGACTATTACAGGTTATGTAAAAAGGTATGAAAAGGTATTTAGATAACATTTTCCATTGCCATTTCCATTTTAAGATAGTTGAGTAGCAAATGAAGGTTATTTAACATGTTTATTTTAGGATAAAATCTTGTATAAGTACATGTTGTCATTGATAGATGTTACTTTTACCATTGATGGTTTTAAAGCCATCCGTAAAGCTCAAATGCTGAATTGTATTTGTCCACCCACAAAAACATAATATGAAGAACAGATTTTATTAGTGATATCTGTAGCTTGGCTTCATTGTACATTGTTAGATTTGAGATACGAATAAACTATACATGAATCATGTCTACTAAGATTAACCACCAAATTGTGAAGCAATATAATAAAAAATAATCATTTGAAGAAAATGCCAAATCTTTTTTTTTTATTTTTAACGCACTGTGATAAGAAATAATAAACACTTCATTCTTTAATAATACTTGTACTGATTTTTTCATTGTTGTATGCTTAAATTATACAAACAATTCCTCATATAGAAAGTTGTTTATGTAAATCCGGGTATATATTGAAACCAGAAGTCTCTGTCGAGACTGTAGCTCTACTGGTTTGTACTTGTAACAATTAAGGAACAGAAAAGTAGCACTCACTCAGACTTGAAACTTTGCAACAGCAATAAATAAATAGTAATCCTTGTTTACTCTCTTTTTGTGGCAAGATGAATTGCAATCAGACTATAACTGTAGAAGGAGTAGCAATTTAAAAGAATTTTAGAGAAATTTCGATTTTAGTTACCATGGCAACATTATTAATCAAAATCATATTCAATTAAGACATTTATGTATCTCAGTATAGTCTACTTGCATGCCATGTTATATTAAAATCAGTCCAAACTGTAGGCAAAGTAATGATTTGAAAGTATATCAAAGAAATTCATTTTTTTTTGTAACCGTGGCAACATTTCACCAATATCAAAAAATTGATATACAGAATTATGTACAGTACCAACCAGACCCAACCTGACACCTAAACAGTCCCAGAAAGCAGTCCCCGGCACTGCTTTGGGACCGCTCTGGGACTGCTGTGGGACTGCTCTGGGACCGCTGTGGGACTGCTCTGGGACTGCTGTGGGACTGCTCTGGGACTGCTCTAGAAAGCAGACCCAGCAGTCCCAGCAGTCCCTGGGACTGCTTTCTGGGACTGCTTTGTTCACTCCTGCATGAAAAAGGTTCTGAGTGACATGATAGCTCCGCCCCTTGTGTATTCTGAATTTGCAGGCTCCCTGTTGTTGTTTTGTTTACTTTCAGCAGAGAGGTGTTTAAGATAAAGAATTAAAAAAAAACAAGGATTTTTTTTACATTTTAATAAGTAGAGATAGATATACATGTAATTACTAAATGTCTTTAGGGGCTGTAAATTTACACAATTGTAGTCTAGAATTAATTTTAATTAAATGAAAGTAGTTAAAAGGGAAGTCAGGAGATGACTTTTATCCTTTAAATTAAACTTTAATACAGGTGTTTGAAAAAATATATATATCTAGGCCTATTTAATTAATTAATGCTAATTAAAACTTTAATACAGGTGTTTGAAAAAAAAATATCGAGGCCTATTTAATTAATTAATGCTGTCAAGTTACGGAATGTACTCAAAGTTTGCATTAGCACTATTTAAAAACAAACAAACAAAAAAAACAAACAAACAAACAAACAAACAAACTTGTCATTACAATAAGACATTCAGAGGGACGTACTGTACTGGATTTTTTTTTTAAATTGAAAAAGCTAAAACCATATGCATGCTAAAAAAGAGCATTCCATGCTATTTTTTTACCGCCCTCAAATTAAACCTAATAATTTATTAAATGACCATGAAATAAAATTATTCTACCATTCTTCAGTCATTTAAACATTATATTTGTGAACAATTATTGGGGGATTTATTTATGAATTTGTTTTTGATTTATAAACAAGTAATTAAAAGAGTAAATTTATAAACATTTTAAAATATTGGGAATTGTGACTAATTTCTTATTTGTTTTGTTTGTGTTTTCCTGGCCGATTAATAAAAAGCAATACAAATGTATAAAATGGTGTCAACACCTGAAGTTTCAATCGCCTTCGGGCATGATTAGCAGAAAGTCAATGCATGTGTTTTGGGTATCAGTGTTACACATCACTGAACATGCTGGTCAACAATGACACTAATTTCAATCTATGTACTGCAAAAAATCTTCGTTTCAATAAATGTGTATAAATTTATTTCGGGATTAATTAATTTTGAACATAATCTGAGGGTTCTATTCGCGTGATTTACAGACGTACACTCAAACGTTTATATAATAAAAGTATTATTGTTTTCTGTTACATAGATAATTTAACGATAATTAAATTGGGAAGTCAGTGAAAATAATCATTGCTGAAATATAATACACAAAGAATTTTTCAAAAGCTCCAGTACTTAAGAAAACTGCATTCAGAGTATAGTATGGAAATCGGCCTTGCTCTATAATTATAAGGCCTATTTAAAGCTAGTTTTGATAGAAAATAAATAACGCAAGTTTAATTATCTACAAAAAATAACTAAATAAATAAATAAATAAATAAATAAATAAATAAATAAATATGGAAACCAATATCAATCACAGTAATTTAGAAATTGATTTATTTTGGTGAAAAATTAATATACCACAAAACTGTGTTTAAATATTCATGTTATTTATAGGTGTGAACGTCTTCTTTGTTCAATATTTATTATTTGTTTCTATACGCGTAGCGTGATTTTCTTAACAGTTAAAAAATGACTGTCGCATGAGAATTGATACTGCTCAGAAAGAAATGGATCATCAATTTCAACTGCCTTTTATAGTTACATTGTTTATTGGTAATCTCATTTCTGAGTAAGCTCCGCCCATTAAATTAATTAACCCCGCCCACTGGGACTGCTGGGACTGCTTTCTGGGACTGCTGGAACTGCTTTCTGGGACCGCTGTGTCTGCTGGGACTGCTCTGGGACCGCTGTGGGACTGCTCTGGGACTGCTTTGTGTCAGGTTGGGTCTGGTTGGTACTGTTTCTTAGTGTATTCTAATTGTGTGCCAAGTTATATTGAAATCAGACCAAAACTGTAGGAAGAGTAGCATTTTGAAAGTATTTCACAGAAATTTCTATTTTTTAATAACCATGGCAACACAGTTCATTGAACTCAAAAACCGATAAACAGAAATATGTATCTTAGTGTAGTCTACTTGTTTGCCAAGTTATACTAAATCAGACCAAAACTATAGGAAGAGTAGCATTTTGAATGTATTTCACAGAAATTTCTATTTTTAGTAACCATGGCAACACCGTTCATCTAAATCAAAAACCGATAAAGAGAATTATGTATCTAAGTGTAGTATACTTGTGTGCCAAGTTATACTGAAATCAGACCAAAACTGTAGGAGGAGTAGCATTTTAAAAAACTGTTTACAGACAGACAGACAGACGGACGGACACCTTACTATCGCATAAGCTCTTCTGGTCTCTAACCAGTAGAGCTAAAAAAAAAAATACAGTATATTCACAAATGATAATAATAATAATAAATAATTTTTAAAAAGTATACTTTAAAGTCACTGTCTTTATTTCCTGTTTCTATAGAGATTTTGTGCATATAAAAATCAAAATTAATATATAAAATCATAGAAAGTGTTAATGATCAACTACAACATAAATCCATGGAACTTTTTTTATATGAATTTTCATTTTATCGGTGGGAAAACAGCCTCCGATTCCTTTGCTTCTAGCTCTCCACATTGCCTGATTATTGATTAGAGTAGATGTTTTCAGTGCCTCGCTGAATGTGATCATGCACAGCTTTGATGACAAGTTCATACTCTTCCTGTAAGCAAGCATAAAGAAAAATCAATTGCTGTTTATAAAAATTACACTTTTTTTATGTCGAAAAAATTGTAGATTTGTTGAATGATCAGTAAGAGAATTGAATGTATTGATGAAGCAACTCTTATGCATTTTCAGTTTTTCATTTCTACAGATTTAATCTTACAATGATTTTTTTTTTTCACATCTTATACACAGATTTAGGCTATGATGTGTTGAAGCATATTATATTTAAACGACTCTTAAAAATATTCTGTCAATAGGCCAATGCTGATGTACACATATTTTCAATTGAGCCAATTTAATTTTCATAGATTATAAAAGAATTTACATAACTGAATATGACTTACAAGACTGGAGCAAAAAGCTGGTCTACGAACTTGAATTTGTCTAACTGCAGTAAAGACATCAACTCTATTATCCATGTTAATTTGCTGTACCACGTTATGAACTGCACAGAAAGCACCACAAAGAGAAGCTCCGTCGCTGCCAGAAAAAAAAAAAGAAAAAAAGAACAAATTAGCCTGATCTTTTAAACTACTTTTGTTTACAAATATTCTGCATTATTCCTTAGGTGGAAGTAAGAAATTAACAAGAAAATATATAATTAGATTAATGAGTATTGCTTTCATGAATTAAACATTTCAATTTCCCGGTATATCATACTTTGAATTTTATTTACTAATAAAACAAAAATATTTATCATAAATGTATCTGAACAGGTAATTAGATATTTGTATATAATCATTTAAACGCAAATAGGAAAACGAATATCAAACCTGCTGACAATGATCATAGGATTTCCTGTCTTCACGCTTAGAGCGACGGAAACCAGACTTCGAAGCTGAGAAGTATCCAGAGGACTTTCGGAAGTTTTGATTCTAAACTTGGGTTCTATAACTGTCACCAAATGAGACTTCTTACCCTACAGGAAAAAAAAAAATAATTATAATTTGTCTTTCCTCTCTATTTCATTTATAAAATACTCATCAAATTAATCAATAATGAGAGAAAGAAAAACTGACGCAAAGATCTCAAAGCAGCATGTTGTTTATTTACATTTTTCTGCCGAATGTGAAGGATGGTGCTTCTGACATCAGTTTCATTTTTTAATTGAAACTGGATGGTGAAGGGAGGAACTGTTTTGGGGGATTGATCCGGTAGCCACTCCTTACTCTAGAGAGAAGACAAAATTTAAATTATATATGTTACAGTAAATATGTGTAATCAGGAATTTCATGTATTTCCTGAATTTTAGGAAGTATGTGAAATTCCTATTCTGCTTAGGAAATACATGTATTTACTGGATTTTTCAATACCTGTTACAAGTATTTACTGACTGTGTTATAATTTCAAATGTGAATTAAAAAAATATGAACAGATGCATAGTATATTCAATGTTTAAATCAGTTAGCATATCATGTGAATAAATAATATTTGAACGAAATAAACCTTTATAAATAAAAATGCATTATTTTTGAAAATTTAAAAAAAAACATAATGATATACTGCTTTCATTTTCTCGAATGAGTTGTTTATATAACATTATAATTTAAATTATTTTTAATCTTTTTATAATTTTAAAAAAACTGAACTCGGTAACTGACATTTCTTGTTTTACTAGATATTCATACAATGCTTTTTGCATTTATTGAGAGTAAATTTAAAACCCTGAAACATCTTATTTGCAAGTAAAACAATTCTCCTCTTGTCTCTTTAGAAATGTAAAAAATCTTATAAAATACATACAATATATGGAAACTAAAGTCAGTATTTCAATGATAAATCTTTTCTTAAAGGTATTTTCCACCCTCACAATTTCAATAGTTCAATGTAGAAAAACTGCATTTATTTTCACTGAATATAGTTTACAAATTAAATAATAATTGCAAAACATTTATATGTTGCCATATTTTTAAAAATGTAAGATTTAAATAAACAGAAGTACCGTATATGTCAGCAATAAAAAAATCGTACATAATGATTAATTTTATAATAAAAAATATGAAAAAAAAAATGGTTCAATTATATTATTCTGGTGTTGAAAGGTCCAAAATAATTGCTTATTTGAATTGTGAATATTTGGGAATCCATTTTACATTAAAATTTCAATAAAGAAAATACCTGAACAAAGATACAAGAGAGGAGTTATAGCCCTAAGTAATATTTTTAAAAGATTGATAATTGATTAAATGAAGAAAAATATTTATTTTTAAAATACATTGAAATATTTTCATCACACCCAAATAGCAATCTTCTCTATTGGGTAGGAATTTGGTTTAATAAAAGTTTCTGTAAAAACCTGTGACATCACAGGAGGAAGGAAATATCTTTAATGGAATTTTAGAAAGACAATACACTGAGTCTTCTCCAGAATCGGAAATTAATGTATAATGTCAGCATTGTAGAAACTATTATTATTAAGGGCTGCTTAAAAAAATGCATGCTAGTATTTTATATACTTACTGCTTGTTTTAATGCATATGTATAGTTATCCAGCTTAGTTCAGTAAAAACGTGTAAAATTGGCTAGAATTTTCAGTAAATACATGAATTTCCTAACTATTCAGTTATTACATGTATTTCCTAAAACGGCCAATAAATACATGTATTTACTGAATGGTTTAGGAAATACATGAAATTCTTGATTTCACATATATACTGTAACATTTATACCATCGACGGAAATGCCTTTACAATTTATGCATCTGATGACTACTGAGCTTCCATGTTCAAGAATTTAATTATTTTTTTTTTTTATTATTTTTTATTTTTTTATCTATTTTATTTATTTATTTTGCTTAGGAACGGGAACACGTCTTCAAAAAATTAAAACTGAACTTGAATTCTGCATTTCATGAATGTCAATATATAAAGAAAATAGAAATTTTTTTTTTTGATTATAAAAAGCTGCATTGCAAAGCAAATTAGCCTAAATCAGGTACAAAACTACATCACTCCCTATTGAATTATTAATGTGAAATATATGTATATAATTCATTAATGACATTCAGGCAATCTTGGTATTAAATGAAAAAAAAATTCTGTTCATGTAGGAGAGTGGCTTATAATAAGACACAGATAATTGCAATTTTTACAAAAGTCAGCGAAGAAATAACTTCAAGTACATCTGTTTTTCGCTATAATTAGACCTTACGAACCGATTCAATCCCATCCAGCGGATCCAAACAGATGACAGTGTCCGACTTTTGGTCACCGAGCAGGCGCAGGAAGTCAACAGCGTCCTCTGCTGGAGGATACTGCGTTACAATAAATGCTCTACTGTTGGTAAATGACTAGAAAGAACAACTAAAGAACTGTGTTACTAATTATAAAGTCGATTTTTTCTTAATTATGAAAACAGAAAGATCTTCATGATGCAAATTTTATTATTCATTGCAGAAAAAATTCTTTTGCCTCAAGTTTTAATGTATATGTTACAAATTTAATCATAAACGTTCTCAACATGTACAAAAAAAAAAAAAAGAAATTGATGTGTTGCATTAATTGTATTGTCAATTCTTACTGGTACATATATGGCATTGATGAAACTTCCTCGATTCTGAACTGGAGTTGAAAGATGTACACTGTATTTATCCACTAATCAAAAAAAAAAAAAAAGAAAAAAAAATAAACAAAAATTACTTGATCCTCGTTATGATCACAAAATTGACGTTCAAGTCTGTTCTCTGAATGAATACTGTACTCCAAGAAATTCATTTATTGTTATATTTGAAAATGCTTTGGAAACGTATTAATATCAAACTATAAAGTGCATATACATTTTGCAAACAGGGCAGTATAGTCAATATAATTTCTTAACAAATATATTCAGAATTAACATTGTTAATTGTATACTTACAAGGCAATACACCTGTCAAAAGTCCATCCTTACAAATTTCTTTGGCAATCATAAAGTCAGTGTCAGTGTACACAGGTCTTATCTTCATCAAAAGCTTAGAAAGAATTGAAGACATTTATCACTTTGTTAACAATTAACCAAGACATTGGATTTTCAAATCGATTGACACATCGATATGAATAAAAAAATTCATTCAAAAAAGATAATGGTGATGTATAAGATTATCCATTAAGCTGGATATTTGCCGGAAAGAAATGAAAACAGACTGGCTCTCAAATATAGGACATTACACTTTTCCACTCCATCTATAAACGAAATGCTGAATTGGGGGAAAATGACTATATTTGACTATTCTGACTATTGAAAAACATCTATCTATAAGCCTATGTCAACCACTATATACCGGTATTACTGTTCATGCTTAATTTTGTATCTAACATCAATATACGCAGGTATATTCATTGATATTAATTGAACAAAACTATCATTGCTACAATAACATAACACAACAATACAATGGGAGAGGACTATGTAAGTTTTTAGAACTTGTGTCCAATCACTTTGACACATTGTCAATAATATATGTTCAAAACAAACAATACATCATTACAATATCAATATTTTGATAACTATCAGAAAATTAGTTGTTATTTTTGTGTTTCTCTTTTCTTGCTCATTTCTCGTCACTAAGTGTCAGATCAATTAATTCATTTTTTTTTCAAATTGGATACCTGAAATTCTTTTCGTAAAGTACTCTGATTGGCTGGTTCATCACTCGTCATATTCCCGACTTTTTTGGAAAAGTCTTCTATAGTGTTGATGTTAACTGGCGACTTAAATATTTCATTCAAAGCAAGAAAAACCGTCATGTACTGTTCCTGAATTAGGAAAAAAATATTCTGATAAAACTGGATCAATAAAAAAAGTACACAATCTGTCTTGTCTTCTTCAAATCAATGAGTCATTTATAATGAATTTACAAAGAAGTACCTGTGTCATTATGTTACATTATCGAAATATACAATGCATACTGAAAAAAAAATGAACAGAGAAACGATATGTCGTCACAGCCGATCTCTGATTTAAAATGAAGAAAAGAAGTGGAAGTGGTAGGGGTCCGAGCCCCAAATGCCCATGAATCACATGACCTGAAAGGTTTCCTTTATCTCGTTTTTGAGGGTGCATTTGTCCATTTGATTATATACATCGTGTTTTCTGTTCATTTTTATTTCTTTGAATTCCCTTTGCCTCTGACTTTACGTAAGACTTTGTCAAAGGCTGTGACGTCATCATTTATCGGCACTGACATAAAAACGTAGCGATTGTGAACATGAATCTCAACAAAGTGTTCGGAGAAACATTGCCAGTTTAGTCTCTGTCAGGATGATATATTTAAGATATAAAAGGCCAGAAAGTATTTTTGCAAAACTCTTCTTAAATGAAAGTAAATGAAAATTGAGAGTTTTGCCGATTTTCTAATTTTCTTTCACACTGTGACAAAATATCACATTGATTTATTTTTTTTCACACTGAGACAAAATACCATTTTTTTTTAAAAAAAAATCTTTACAGTATTTCACTGTCGAAAATGCAATAAAATACAATAAAATGAAGTTAAGAAATGGATAAATTAAATGAAATAAATATTTAAAGAAAAGGGTAAGAAAAAAAAAAGATGCATTCATATAGAAAGATGTAGAAAAAATCAAGAATCTAGGTACATTTTTTGTTAAAAAAAGTCAAAATTAAAATTAAAAAAAAACTTACGTAGGTTTGGACCATATTCATCCTGTTTTCCCTCATTTTCTTGACATATTCTGCTACGTTGACTTTCTTTCTTTTACGACCTATTCGTTCCAAAGCATCCAAAGCTATATACGTCCCCGTTCTACCTATCCCCGCACTATAAGGTAAAACAAAATCGTGTGCACATAGACATTTGTTGAGGCCAATTTCTAGATAGGGTACATATCCACTATTGCCACTAAAATTTATCGGCCAAAATGTACCTGCAGTGTACAATTGTTGGAGAGTCATTCTGACTTGATCCAATTCTTGTCACGTGATCAAGAAAGACAACAAGACATAGAGGTTCCGGTGTTCCATGGTCTGGCCACGCCGTGTAATGGTACTGAGTCACCGTTCGTGATTCCTTCGACTACAGTAATGAATGGGATAATTCTTTTTTGGTTTTTTTTTTGCACATTGGAATTAAAAAAAAAAGTAAAAAAAAAATAATAAAAGAAATTAAATATACCAAAAAAGTTTGTTTAATTGTAACATTAAGTAAACATTTTTCCCACTGAAAACTAAGTAAAGTCTGATATTTTTATGTAGATTATGGGTTTTTTTTTCTGTTAAAGCATACTTCACTGTGCCTTGCTGTCATCTTTCGTACGATGTAGAATGCGTATTCTTTTTCCTCCATCAATTTCACAGACACCGAACCGTAGTTGACGTTCTTATTTGCATCCGGCCAATACTGATGGCATTTGACCTGAAAAAAGTCGATATATATAACATCTAATTACTTCTAGATTTGCTTGGGCAGACACTATTGTAAACCCACTCAAATATTGATTGAAACGAAATAGAAAACATATAAGGGAAAACCCAAATATTTAAGCTTTGAATTTTATATTAGAGACTTGAAGTTCATTACAAACACATACTTTAGTTCCTTCTTTCAAGTTTGTCAGCATGACAATGGAGAACACATTTTCTTGCCAAACCATCTCCCAAAAATCGTCAAGTGTATTCGGCTTTGGGCCTAAACGAGAAATATAAACACCAAAAACAACAGACGCAAAAATTGCCAGAAAATATATACCTGTATCTTGATGAAGGTAGATCAGAATTTAATGGAGATTGGTGTTCTGTAATTGTCCAATAATAATGCAATACAGAGATGTACTTGTAAATGCACTTCTCATTATACCTGTTTGAGGCTTATTTTGGAAAAGTAAATAAATAAAACATATAACGGGTATTCAAGCATAAGTACCTTGTGCTGCGATATACTCTCTTTCTCTCTCTGCACCCTTTTAAAAAAAAGAAGACAAAACTCGGTATTAAATTTCAGGCATAGGTCTCTAGAGGTAACGGATATTCAATTTGAATAGAACAAACCTTCTGAAAGTGTTGAAACTTCCTTAAAGAAATTGATTTATTGTACAATTCTATCCACTCTATATCATTTCACTACATTATCATGTAATTACATGTCTTTACCTCAATATAGTTTGCATTGATGTAGTCGGATCCTGATTCCGTTCTTAATATAACTCTAGAATGGTCATCTATAAAGAAGAAAGAGTTACATGATTATTTAAAATCCTTCATAATGAAAACAAGAGCCTCAAGGGCCTTATAATACAACTTATAGGATCCATAGAATATAAAATAAACTGGTAGATGAAGATTTGTTGCCCAAAAGCAATAGAAATAGGATGATCAGGATAAATGATATAATTAGTCTAATATCTAGTAACAGCTGAAAAATTAAATTCTAATCTGTCCCCAATTTGTCATTTTCACCATGTAGACTATTTACAAACTATTACTGCTTCTGTACTATTTTTGACCCCGAGTTATAATCTCTCACATTGGCCTCTTTTGGTCTTTGAAGAACATTTTAAAAAGTTATTTTTGTCTCATTTTTCATTATTCCATTATTTACAAGTCTATCTGATCATTAAAACTATGAAAGTAGTTTTTGTATTATACAATAAAATATTTTGCATAATTCTTTTTTCTATTAACTTCTCAAATACATTATTTACAGTGATCAATTATCAATGAATTGCAAAGGGGAATAACTTCTCTCAGGAGAATAGAAATTAATAGAGCCCTGGCCAGGACCAGAACACTTGACCAAATAGTCCAGATGTTTAGAAATCTAGTAAAAGTAGTCTTCCTTATTAAAACTTTTACTTTGTTTGCCTTTGATATCCAAGAAGGTATATGAATGACATTCTATGGTCTGTTTGATTTTTTTGTCACCAATGCCATACTTGACATACTTGAGCTTGAATAAAAGGGATTAAATTCAAGTTATCTGCATTCACTAGGTGCTGTTGCGTTATTTTCATTTCCATTTTCACCTTCGCCAGTTTCGGACGGTATAACAAAATGGCCAATTTTTAAACCTTAACGAAAGTACAAACCAATTGCACAGAATGACACGCAGATAGAATTGATGGAGAAACCAGAGAAAATTAGGGGGAGGGGGCGGTCCAATTGTGTTGTAAAATTTCCGGGCCTTTTCTTAAATGGAAGATCTACCTCTGGTATATCACCATCACTGTTGCTAAAATCTTACATTTTTTATGATAATCGAGAGCACTATATTATACTTCACATTGCTAGATATTATCGGTTTCTGGTGTTGATGGTCTCTTATGACGTCACAAAAAGGGAAAGTGACTCTTTTGATAAACGTTATTTTTAGCGATTTTTAAACAGGTAAACAAAGAAAACAACGAGGTTTAAAATTTTACGAAATTATGGTTCCCTCTTTTTAACTTTTATTTACAACATAGAAGTATATCTTTTACAAGTGTATCTATTTCCTTTGAATTTGACATATTATACCCGGTAGCAGAGAAGACGATTTTCAAAGAAATAATGCACTTTCACTATATGATCTATATAACCCCGCCATTACACAAGAACCCCTGACCCTGGGGCCATGAATTTCGCAATTTTGGTAGAAGGCTCACTGCTTACTACAACCATGCCAACAGTTTGACTGCTTGATGTCCAGGAGTAAAGAAGAAGATTTTTTAAATTGCATAAATTTTGGTGGTTTTAGCCCCACTCCTCAGGCCCCAGGGGGGCAAGGATTCTGAAATTCACATTTTTTTGCCTCCCTTCACCCACAGATGCTATATTTCAAAATTGGCTGAAATTGGTTACGCGGTTTAAGAGAAGAAGCTGAAAATGTTCAAATGTTAACGCACGACGAACGACGAACGCCGACGGACAAAAAAAGATAGCAATAGGTCACCTGAGTGACTCATGTGACCTAAAAATCAATGAAGGCATACGAAGGTGTGTGGTAAAATCGCGGGCATGTCTAAAGTAAACAATACATGTAATCATAGCTGCTCTCTAAAATTGTCAAAGATCATCGGTAAACTTTTCATCAAAACATGTAGAGCAAGGGAGTTTCAAATAGATATATTCTCAAATATTCAAAATATGAAATTTTATATCATGTGTTTCATCACTTTACGGTACACGGATGATTACTCCACTGTCTGATACAACGTCACTGTTCATCTGGTATAGAAACTTTGGGTCAGCCCCACTCGTATTCGGGAATTTCCTCATGCACGCACTTGAGCTCCCCTTAGTACCTCCATAAATGGACCACAGACCTATCTCGCACATACATGTACGTACTCTTCCTACATTAAACTAAAAAGGAAATCTTTGACGGTTTAAAATGATAGCACATTTCATTATTTTGAGTAGCATTTTATCCGCATCGTTTGCATCGTTTTTTTTGTTTTTTTGTTTTTTTTGTACAATTCCAATTCGACTTGAATAACGAACATCTACTTATATCTAGTAAAAAAAATCTTTTAACATTGAACGTCTGTACAGATGTAATTTTTAAATCTGTATCAAACTGAACTGCTCTTTAGTGCGCCAAAGTATCATTAAATTTCGTCTTTTCCGTGTGTTAAGTTTACCATTTTCTCATTTAAGGGAGCCGACTGGGGTTTTATTGTGTGAAAACTACTACAGAGAAACTCTTTAATCTTAAACCATATGTACCTTACATTGACATCAGTATACGTGCCAAGTTTAGTGAAAATCTACCGTTTGGTTATTTTTTAGAGACCATCTCAAAATTCAGGTACATTTACTATAGGATTATATAAGAAAATACAATTTTTTCGCACTTCTGAGCAAATAATATAACTTTTTGCTCAACTTATATTATTTGATGAGTAAAACTATATTGCACATCATATGCAAGAAACAAAATTCTACCGTCTAGTTTTCTGAGGGGGCAGTTTTCTCTTATTTTTGTTTTTGATCCAGTGCCAAAAGAACACTAAGAAGAGTATTGATTTTTTTTAGCGATCAAAATTTTAGTGGGATATTACCAAAACGCTAAAATAAGCCAAAATTAGCACCCCGCTAAAATAACCTGCTATACGGTAATTGAATTTCGATAAGTCATCTATGACATTATGAAGTTTGGTCTGTAATATGAGCAAAATGCAAAAAAGTCCTAGTTTTAAATGCGCCAACTAATACTAAAACTTACAGGGAAATGTAATTTTATATCTATTTTTAATCACATTTTCCTCTCTCTTTCCAGCGTCACACTTGTATAGTTCCCCGTATGGCAATGTCTGCGGTGAAAAGAAACAATATCTTCTATAATCTTTATCCACATGCATAGTACACTTTTTTTTTCTTTCTTATAGACGCCGTATCAAAAATGTTAACTTTACGACAAAATTTTAAAATATATAATTTACCCATATCAACTTTATAATCACAATTTGATAAGTTTTCAGTTTCTTTCTCACCGCATATTCTCTCTGAAACCCGTCGTCTTTATTTTTTCTTTTTTCAACTATAACAGACTCCAACTGATTAAGAGGTATATCTCGAATTGTTGTTTCATTTGCGTAAAGGTCCCCATAGGGATTCTCCGAGTGTATTAACTCATCTTCATCGACATCAGCATCTTCAACTTTCTTCTTGCGTGTAGAATGTATGCGATTTCCACTATCTTTGTGTTTACTTCTTTGGTGTTTGGTTGAGGACCGAGATTTTGAATCAATGGAATCTGTCCCATCAGCTCCAGTCTCGGCTGAAATCAGAGAAAAACCAGCTAGTTCATTCGAGGATATGATTAATGTACAACAAAATACAACGAAATGGAATTTAGACACTTACAATGTTTAGATTTTTCAAATTGTTCTCTTTTTTCTTCCTGTAAACTGCGCCTGAAGCATGAAAAGTTTTTAGTAAAAGGAGCACTACATCTCTGGTTTTAAATTAAAAAAAATAGTATCCTTGGTTATTTTAATGTATAAAGCATTTTTATTTCCAGATATTATAAAACCATGTCAGAAATACAACAAATGATAGAATTACATTCTTAAAACCATAATCAGAACTGCCATAAGAATACAGGCAATGGCAAGTCCAGATATCCCTCCAATGACTGAACCAAAACTGCTGATAAAAAAGCTCTGTGAGGGCTTCTGCAAATACATTGATATAATGACAGAACATTTTATCAAAAAAAAAAAAAAAGAATCACAATTTAATTTTATTTATTTAAAAAGGAGATTTTATTCTTTGTAAATGGACATGCGGATTACTAATATCAAATTCTAGAATAAATTTCATTTGTGTTTAGACAGTGTATATAATAACATTTTTTTTTCCCATATTTTGTTAAATCTATTGAAAATAAACCTCTTTTGAAATAAATTCTGATTTCTTCAATAACACGGTTGTGTCTTGGAATATGATTTGTGAAAACACTAGAGCATTGAGGGGAAAAATCACCTTTACCTTTGGACAATATCCAGTGACAGAGTCACAGGTATTATTAACACAGCTGGTGCTACAGTTGTTTAAGCAGTCAAACCCGTATGTGTCCGAGCTACAACCTGAAAATCAGCATAAAGTTTTGATTTTAGTGCACAACTGAGCATTATATGCTAGTGTCATCCCAGTCCGTGCGGTGAATTCAAAATTTGATGCATTATTTATCTTGATATCCGATAGTTCATCTTCATACTTTACATGATATTAAGATGTGTGTGCTTTTTGGGATCGGCTTCGGCCGATCTCAGTTGATTCCATATGAGGCATCCGGTACATTTAACTATCTGCGCACAAATTACGTCCTGCACTACTTTGTTTACTTTACACTGACAGCTTCAGATAAAACTTTCAGAACATGCTAAATACTAACAAACATTATTTTAATGCATATACCTTGAGATGCAGACGTTTATTCAGTTACATGATGAATACACTTGCATTTTGTGTAAGAATTTCACTCAGATGTACACTTCTATTAAGACAAAGTTTAATTGTTCATTCTTTTCATTGCAATTCATTTCATTCATTGCACACGGCTCATGATTCGTTTTGGGTTTAGCGGGAAAAACGCATTTATTCATACATACAAGGGCATTCAAACTATTTTCTTAGCACTAACTTTGTGTCGGGACCGGGGGGATGGGGACTAGGAAGTGGGGGATATCCCCCACACCATTTGTAAAGATAGACATAATATAGACATTGAAAATTGGGGCTTAGCCCCAAACGATCTTTTTTTTTTTTTTTGCTGTTGGTTTAGTCAACCCCCTCCCCCCTCCTTTTCACTTTCCTACCGACAACTATTGGAGATATGTATTCCTGATCACAATTTATTATCCTGATAATAAGAAAAAAAAAGTTTACAAATTTGACTAGGTACATGCTAGAATACTAAAGTTTTATTTCCTTGCAATTTTAATAAAGAACTATAAAAAAATGACAGCTAATTTATCTTCAGAGTTATTTTCTTTTAAAAGGATTCAGCTTTAAAAGAGAAGATAAAGCCCACATTACATTTTTCATGTTTTTCATAGAAAAATATTTTTTAAAGACAACATAATATACGTGGTCATACTTTTTTATAAAGCAACACTGCCCCGTTAAGATTTTGTTCTATATTTTTAAATTTGGTGTGTTGCGGAAAGCATGTTAATATGGCTATCCTTTGCACGTAGCACTCAGTTTAGAAATAATGAGAAATTAAAAATATTTATATGTATACTTATTATATTATACTCATAGAAATTTAAGTTCATCAAAAGGAAAAGTCTACAAACTTATTTCAAGACGTTTCATAATTCTGACTTTACGATCCCATCCCGATCATTCCTTAGAATTAAAGGAATACTTGTTAATGCTTTCATCAACCACTACCCTATTGCTTAATTTTACAACCATCTTGCATATTGCTGAAATCAAATGACATTGCCCATAACTCATTTTATTTTTTGTTTTAGTATTTAATGCATATGCATTTTTGAACCAAACATGGCATTAATTAAAACGCATCGATACAAGTTTTGCTTCTACATTTCTTCTAGAATTCCCAGTTTGTCTTGCATAAAAAATATTTGAAAGTATCTTGATTTTCCCATGCGTCTAGCAGTTTGACTTTCTAGTTTGAGCTATGCTAATTGCAATGTCCCTAGCCCTACTTTGGTCAATAAAATACATGAACATTTACAAAAATTGGCACAAATAATCATTCGCAGGATTTGACAATATTGCAACTAAATTACATCAAGGATATATTTACCCTGAGTGCAGAGTATTTCTTTGTATCCTTTTGTACATCCATTCAAGCAACTTCCATTAATGTGATGACATTTTATTTGTTTTCGACAGTTCCCACAAGGCTGACTACAGTTGATTCCATACGTATTGTTCGAACAAACTAATTGAACAGAAAACAAAGAGTTTTATTTGCATAATTCATTTCTAATGGTTTTAGTGTGCTTGTGTTTTTGTTTGTCTCTCTTTCTCCTTATTGTTATTGTTCTTTTAATTTAACTATATGTCATTTACGAATAACACCAAACTACATAACAATAATGCAAAAAGTAAAGAGTTTTTTGTTTGGTTTTCTGTGTTTTTAATTTTTATTTTTTGTTAAGTAAATAATAATAATCTTTTCTTGTCTGTAATTGTATACATATATCTTTTTAAAGAGTGCAATTATTTTCAAGAACATATCCTGAGTTACAGTCATTACATACTGTTCTTATATAAGAGTTAGCGATATGCTCGTTAACACTAAAAGAAGGAAGACTGATGATATACAAATGTACACAGAAAAGACTTTAACATGAACAGTAAACTTGGTTCCATCAAATATAATTTTTAAAGAGTTGTGAATCCTATTGATTTTCATGTAAACAGAATACAGGTTTTATTTGATTTCGTATAGAGTTTTCCCCCATAATTCAAAATGTCTAGTTTTATTCCTTGTTAATTAAATACCTTACTTTTAAATATTTTTGTTCTTGTTTGAATAAGCTGTCTCTCATGAATATTTTATATACTTTAAGCACTTATCTATTTGTTTCTCATAATACATGTAACCATACGAACATTACAAAAGATATAAGATGTGATTCAACATTCAATGGCAGAAAAAGGGCAAATGATATGACCATCATCAAATTAAATTGAAACATTTGAAAAACACAATTATCTTTGTAAATAGTTAAAATTCAATAAACCATTTTTGCATTGAGGTCCCTCCCAGCCAGGCTGGCATCCGCCCTCACATTCTCCTGTTGTCCTCTTACAGATTCCTGGTAAACCGCAATTGACGTTACAATTCTCATTACAGTTTTTTCCGAAAGTTCCATTCGAACATGCTGTAATAAGATTTAAAATACATTTTAATCCATGCACTTTCTTGGGCACTTGCATGCAAGTGCGTGTGCGTGCGAAGAGTGAAATGACTGGTACAACTGAGCTTTAACCTTCATATTTTTGGATGATGTGCTTTGAACCTTATCATATAAACATATATACGTAGTGAAGACAAGATGAGCTGGTTGAATTAGAAAGGAAGCACGCGCATGTACGTGTGACTCGCTCTGATTGGCTGACACAAAAAAATTTCAGTAACCTTCTAGGTTTTTTTTGCTTTAAATGGCTGTCAATTTCTTAGCATTCAAACAAGCAAAAAAACAAACAAAACAAAACAAAACAAAACAAATAAATTTATAAAGATGATTGAGATTTCTTGCATAGATATTTATTTTGAGTCTCTCTACAAGGAGAACATGTGAAATATCTAGAAATCATGGGCATGTGCGTGCTCTGAAGTCCGGTTATCTAATACTCAAAGGTTGATACGGGCGTTGTCTTTCGATTAAATACTTCTGAAAAATTGGAACACCTTCTTTCCCTGCAAACCGACAGGACAGAATAAAAAAAGAGATGAAATTAAAGATGATACAATGTTATGTTTCTTGTAACCTATAAATGACTTTAAATATAGAATCTTCATTAGAATTTGTTTACAGAAAATGTTTCTTATTGAAAAAATGTTCACTGGAATAAAATACACATGTTAATTGAATGTTAAAAAAATTAATTAAACGAAAGGAAGAAATGACACAAATCTAATTTATTTTAAAGAAAATACTTCATATATGCATGTAAATCAAACAAATTAGAATAATCTGGCTATTTATCAAAATAGGAAAAAAATATGCATTCGTTTGTGTTGTCTTGTGATTATGATAATTTCCACATGAATTTTGAGTTAGTCACCTAATTACATAATGTGATTCAAATTCTTTATTCATGTAAATTCTTTATACATGTTAAATGTTAACTTTCATTTTTTTTATTTTTTATCTTTTACATTTAAAAATGTCCAAGTTTTAGGAAAACAAATAATTCTGCATAGCTTTAACAGGACCATGTAAAATGCATTGGATTAATGACTTTTTTACATAGCCGCTTAGAGTCATAGAACATCAACAGAATATCAGAAACTTGTTCCCCTGTATTGTTATATTTTCCCTCCCTAATACGTTTATTTTACATACGTGTTTGGCATAAATTATCTCCATAAACACCCACGTCACATCCCTTTTCACACGTTCCGTTGACATGGTTACATGTTTCTTCATCACTACAATTTCCACATTTCTTCTCACAGGACTCTCCATAGAAATGTCTGTTACAGGCTGTTACAAAAACAGAAATGAATGTAGTTAATTGTATAAGTTACCTTAAAGTCCTGTCAGCATCTGGTACAGTGTAAGTGTAATAAACATTTCATCGTCATTCGTGATCTCAAATTGTTGATGCATATTGATACATGCCCCCAACCTCATTTTTTTCACTTTAATATTTACTGTTTAACAAATTCTTAATAACACTATAGGAATAAAAATTTAAAGAAAAAAATACGAAATGTTAAAAAAAGATTTTCTTCTACTCTTTTAATCATTCTTTTTCTCATGCACTAATTTTCTGTTTCATTAAAAGTGATATATCGTTTAAATTACCATCGTTTGACTTATTTCTTTCACAATTTTTTTCTTCAAGATGACATCTATTTTTGAGCAAGCTATCATTACTTCATTCAATTTATTCATTCATAATTGAACTACAGGAAACAGTATTCTAAGACAAGCAATTCAAACTTAAAGCTTTTTTGCAGATATTGGAATATGTTGAACTATATCGATTTTGTATATTTAATAAGTTTCAAAAGGCTCATAGATTATTATTTGCGTCTTGTAAAGAAAAAAAAAAAACAAGGATAGAGATATTAGTGATATGGAAATTGTATCGTATTATTTATGCTTTTAAAAGATCAGAAAACTCAACTGTTGTTACTCACCCTTAGAAGTTTTATATTTAGAAATAGAGGAACTAAATAGAATCAAATTAACATGAGTAGGAAGCCATGAATAAAAATAAACTGAGAAAGCTTTAAACACTGCTCACTAAAGAGTTCTAATTCCAATGTAGTTTTGTGCAATTAGAGTAATCTGCAGTTTGATATAAAATTGAATTAATGGAAATACACGAAATAAAAGACATCACTTTAAGTAAACTGAAGTATTCTTAACGTTGCATTAGACAATGATAAAGTACATGTAATTGATTAGATTTTTTGCATGTATTTTCCCATTGTAGGTACAGAACAGTAAATTCTTACATTAATACTTCAGTGTCTTTAAACATTTTCCTGGAGAAATATAATTATCTGGATTTTTTATTTTGAAAATAAACTACATAAACTGACACCACGATATATAATTATTTTCTCAAAGTCCTAAAAATATCTGTTCTTAGTGTTTAGATTTCCCTTAACAAAGTTGAATGCAAAGTTGCCGTATTAGCTCCAGTAGTATTATTCTTCATATGAGATGTGTCTTAGCTGACTTACACTCATTACACTGATGTCCCTGGTATCCAGGTTTACATCCCTGACAAGCACCTGTTTCTATGTGACAGTAAGGATGGAGACAGTTTTCAGGACACGGAACCGAACATGAAGATCCGTAGAAACCTGTTTCTTTGCAACCTAAAATGTACAAAGGCACGGAACTTTAATACATTTCACATGACGTATTAAAAACAGCTTGTTTTCTTGAGAGGAAGATGCAATTATTCCAAATTAATTATTACACAAAGTACAGTGTGTTAAGAAATACAACAAAGCAGAATTTGGAACTTTTTTGTTCGAATGGCCCTTCACTAAGACTGGTGGTAATAGCTGAACTGGTAATTAAATCGAATAAAATAAGTATGGGGATTAAACATAATTTAATCCCCCTTTGTTCCGAACTACTCTTATGACTACATAACGATTCTAAATAAGATATTTTAAATACACATTTGAATGTAAAATTAGAGAAAATAAAAAAAATCACTGATTAAAACTCACTGTTCATCAAAATATAATATAACAAACGGACGGACAGATGAACGCCGGACAAAGGATGACCAGAAAAGCTCACTTGAGTTTTCAGCTCAGGTGAATTAACAAATAGAAGAAACAGAAATGTCAGCTATAACACATAATAAATGATACATGATATAAAAAAAATAAACATATTTACGTTTTAGGGCGAGAATGCCTTTTTTTTAAATAGTCGGAGGGACAAAGAGCATTTAATTCTTTTAATATGTCAGCCATGTTTAATTATACAGAGGACTTTATGTAAATGGTGACTGAAATGTTTCTTTATATGAAAAAAGAAGGAATGTAATTACACTGTTATACAATAGTACATGTCCTTGATAATTAGATTTCAATCAACAAAGTCAACAAAGTTTGGGTTCGGATATTTAACGAGCCAGTAGCATATGTAGCGTAACCTCCTCAGTTGAAGAATTCACAAGAAAATAAATCCAGAATACTAAGACGCTATGAAGTTTGTTAAAATACAAAAATGATGTGGGATTGTTGATCAAACAATGAAAAAAGCGATAAATTCAAACACCCATGAAACTATTTGTTGCCCTAATTATTTAAAGAAAACTACTGATGAAGCTTTGGGTGAATAACCTCGGTGAATAAATTGTGGTGAATCGACGCCATCAACAATTCCTTATCACCAATACTTTTGCTACTGTAAAGCTATGCTGAAGCAACGCCACCAACAGCTTTCTATAATTCAAAGGTCTTAAACACCTGTAGCTCGGTGTGAAAACATCACCAGTAGTAATGAGCTAATTCCTATTTAATAAAGGTTTAAGTTTCAAGAATTCTATAAGCACACCATAAATAATCTAGTTTCACCCAAATTTACCAAAGAAACTAATCCAATTATTAACCATAAAATCACCAGTTTAAATTAACAAATTAACCAATTATGAAAATATACCAATTCTCGGTTAGCTCTTAATTGTGCCTCTGACATCTTCGGGATCTTAGAAGAACTGCAAAGTCTAATGGTCTCTGTAATGGTTTTAAATGCTGATGCTTTAATCATATGACTTAGCTCACCAGGAGGTCCCATCTTCCCATTTAGCCTGCTTACTAAGACTCCGGCTGACCAATACACAGATCTTATCAATGTAACTTTTGTCAAAAGCTAGGAATATACTCTATCTAAGAAGTTATATTGTTTTACTTACTTAATGCCTACCAAAAATTAATTATATACTATAAAAACATTATCTAAGAATTATACAACTGTATAACAGTGTAGTGTATTTTACGTACAGAAACCTGAAAGTTCGTTTTTCAATAGCATTCTTATTGTTAACGTTTTTCTTTTTCGGCGGCATTGAACAGCAATTCGGGTTCGGAACGCCTAGTATGGGGGCACATGAGGCTGCACTGTAAACATGTTGTAATCCAAGAAATCCCCCACTCCTCCCGACACACATACCATCTCTCATCATCGAAACTTATAACTTCTTCTCAAGTTGTGCACTACTATCATAACTGTAATGCAATAGTGTAAATCATATATATATATATATATATATATATATATATATATATATATATATATATATATATATATATATATATATATATATATATATTATACTTTCATGTTAAATACTAAAATCTGATTGGTTTAGACGCATTTAACAATCCATAATGTTACCCTCAGCGTTAGCAACAGACTTGACAACGGGTAACATTACGAAAATATCACATGCGTTCAAATCATGCGCGTACGGTTCACCGTAGAATTCTCAAAACGTCGGTTGTGCGTTTGAAAGAAGCCGAATAAACGACGTCAATAAAAGCTTGCGTCCGATGTAGCTTACTTGAAAACAACAAACGACAGACGAAACATCCTTGCGAGTGCAAACTTTAGATGATAAAGGACTTTTTGAGTAGCAAACAAACAATAAAGAGGTTGGTAAATCTTTTCCGAAGCTTTCTTATTGAGAAAAATAGAAGCGGGGAGTTTGAAAGCTTTCTAAGCGTGAACTTAACGACGATCTCCGAATTTTTTTATGACATCCGAAATCAATAAGACATTCAGTATAATAAAATAAATAGTACACGTTTTTGAGGGTAACAGTTGAAATTGACACCCCTCGGAAAACCATTGTCAACCTCCGCTGACGGTACCAATTTTGATGCACCAGACGCGCATTTCCACAATTAATGTCTCTTCAGTAATGCTCAAGCCGAAATATTTAAATAAAAAAGATTTGGAAGAGCTGAAGAAAGGTGCCAAAGACTGGAGCCAAAATAGTGTGGTCTGTTCGTTATTTTTTTTTTATTATTAGAAAGTCGGTCATATTACACAGGACGACTGATATTTACACAGCTTTTCATTCACGGGTGCGTCTGCTCTAGAGTCGCGGAGTAAGGAGTTGCGGGTTCGAATCCCACTGTGGGACGTGGAGACCGGTCCTTCGGATGAGACCGTATAAACCGAGGTCCCGTGTCGCAGTAGGTGCTGGCACGAAAAAGATCCCTCACTGCTCAATGGCCGTAAGTGCCGAGTATAGGACAAAATTTGCAGCTCTCCACCGGCAAGTGGTGGCGTCTCCATATGCGTGAAATATTCTCGAGAGGGACGTTAAACAACATACAAACAAACAAACAAACATTCACGGGTGAAATATACATGGGGTAAAAATCGGCCAGACGTCAACGAGTGTTTCAAAAAACCAATAACAGTTTTTTCTTTTATTTTTATATATATTTTTTTATGAATTTTAAATTTTTCATTTTATTCTATTTTTATTTTTTACCGTAAATAGGTATGGTTCATATCACATGGGTTGCAACAACAACCTTAAGTTGTTGATGTTATCAGTTTCTTAACCAATGAGAATTAAGTTCGCTATTTGAGAGATATTAATTATGTATCGTCTAGAATTCTGCGCTTACTGAACGTTCAAGCAGAGAAGAAAATTGTACTATTGTCCAAAAGGCAAATAAAATTCGGAAACAAGTACTTCACACTTCATATTAAGTACTCTCCTCTGATAATTCAATTTAATTCGATTTTAATTTAATCAGAATTCTATGAGATCTTCAATATTCTCAGATTCTAGCAACGAGAAGGAACTGACAGTACTGCAGTGTACGTCACTTTCTATTGAAAATATAATTTGCAGTTTCATTTATATCCAGTCTGTTATGCTATCGAGATTATATATAGAAAAGAAAATGATATAATTTGTAGTAACGCATATGTCTATAGTAAAATTAATAATTAAAGATTACTATAGCAAGAACTATTGCAGAATACAAAGATATATATAAATACCGAAGAACGTTCCATTGTTAAAATGATACCCAGCTTTTAGGACATGTGTGTTCTATATCATATAATGCAATCGGTTACACTCGCGCACAGTTAAGGCATAAATTGCAATATGAAATCAGCACTTGTTTGCTTTTTATAAAATATCTGTAAGCTAAACATAACGCTGATAAGATGCTGTCTATTCCCATTTCAATATTTTAAATGTGCTTATATAATAGAATGGTATTTTTACTATGATACGATCTTGCGCACTTAACGTTGAAAAATAATGATGTCCCTCTGGTAAATTTCTATCAGAGGAATGCCGCATTCATTTTTTTTTAAGTATTAATGATAGTTTTAAATGAAGGAAAAATACGCCATCTATATGGAAAAGCTAATTATTTTTTGAATTTAGGCACCATTCGATGGTTCTAAGCTCTAGCTTTTTTACACGTTTTCTGTCATGCCTTAAGGACTGTAGATGATTTGTTAAAACATAAAGAACTAAACTTGTGCAGAATGTTAAGATCTTTCATATGATATCACAGAGAAAAGGCCACCCTTCAAATTAATGTCCAAGAGGGTTAGAAAGTCCTTAGTCTATAAATCTTTAACTATCAAAATTTGTACAGTAATAGTATTTTCTCTTAAAAATTTGCAATTATGAATAGTAGCATTTATTTTTTCATTTGTTAGGTAATAAGGGGCTAAAAGGAGCCAGAATGCTTAATTTTGAAACTTCATTTCTCTAAAAGAACAAATAATTAATAAAGCATTATTGAACAAGAAGATGTATACAAAATTGTTCCTTACAATATGAAAACTTTTTTTTTCTCAATAAGACCCAGTTAAGGAATTGACGTGCTGACCCCTATGTGACGGTACATATTGTCGTTTTGTACATATTGTCGTCGGCGACAATATGTACCTACCCTCACTGCACATAGTGTCGTCCATCGGTATATTATCGCCGGCGACAATACGTACCGAGACGAGCCTTATTTTCCTCCTTCATAATGGACGACAAAATGTACAGTCATATTGTCGTTGACAACAATACGTACAGCCAAGGTCGGCATATATTGTCGTCGATATATTGTTTTGACGGATATTTACTTGAGAAAGGAAAGAGAGATTGACAAACATACACACACGCATCGTTTGAGTGTAAAATAATTGAGTTTACAAGACCGATATCCCATTTAGCTAGCCCGGTCAAAATTGGTCAAAAAAACGTTTAATACTATTATAAGAGTATATAATTCCAGGAGCTGGCTGACATCCTGGATCCCATATTTAGACCTTCAACTTTTGAAAAGAGAGGTGTCTGGGAGGGACCGTATGACTTTCAAAAGGAATAAAATTTACAAGACCGATAACCCATTTATCTAGCCCGGACAAAATTAGGAAAACGGGTATAACACTGTTATAAGATTGATTGATTGATTGTATGTATGTTGTTTTACGTCCCATTCGAGAATTTTTCACTCATGTAGAGACGTCACCATATACCGGTGAAGGGCTCCAAAATTTTACCTATACTCGGCACTCAGGGCCATTGAGCAGTGAGGGATCTTTATCCGTGCCAATGTCTGCCGTAGTACGGATCCTCGGTTTTTTAAGGTCTCATCTGAAGGATCCGAAAGTTTCACTTCAAAGTGCCGAGCGCATGGGGAAGGAACAGTTGCCAACTATTTTTTATCGACTTAGGTCAGTTGCAGCCGAAATTCGAACCCACGACCTCCTGATCACGGAGCGAGCGCTCTACCGACTGAGCTAGCGTGAACAGTAACACTGTTATAAGAGTACATAGTTAGAATTAATATATCACTGAGGCAAAATTGTTTCTAGTATAAATGTGCAATTATAGGTTATGATATTCTAATTATATCTTACGTAATCTCCGGTAATTTATTATCTTTACTTTTTGGTTTTGTGTTTTAGATGTTTGTCACTTCCTGTCTAGGTGCTAGATAAAATGTGTGTTGAGCACATGTGTTGTTACTCTTTAATTCGGGAACTACAAGAACATTACATTGGCAACGAGGACGGAGACTTCAAAAGTCCACCTGAGGATCGCCCAAAATGCGATTCCAGGTCGGCATTACGAAGGCAAGTGAAATAACATTTACTATCGATTTGCAATTTCGCTCCACGTGTGATCCACATGAGAAAATGGCGGCACTTCCCCGGTTTCCTCCATTTGTACTTCATGCAGAAGGAAGCACGGCGACGCGATGGAGAAAATGGAAAGAACGTTTTGAAAATTTAATTGTTGCCATGAACGGTACAGATAAGGAGCGTCAGAAGGCTTTATTTTTGCATGTGCAGGTGAGGAGGTGCATGATGTTTTCACAACATTGACCCACGCAGAAGGTAAGGAAGATGTTTACAAACAAGCTGTAGACGCTTTAAACACGTGCTTCATACCAAAAAGAAACATGGAATATGATTGGTCATATTAATATGCACAAATTCCGGCACGCAAAACAAGAAACAGATGAATCATTTGACACATTTCACACCCGCCTAAGGAAGCTGACTGAAAGGTGTGAATTTACAAACGTCGAAAATGAAATCAAGAGTCAAATTATTCAATCATGCAGTTCCTCAAGGCTTCGTCGAAGAGCACTTCGTGAAAGTGAAATTGAATTGAAACAATTGCTATTGCTTGCAAGATCATTCTAAATAAGTGTTGCACAGGCTTCAGGAGTCGATAATGAAAGTGCAGCGCTCGTTTATGCAGTGACGAAGCCCCCAGATAACTCGCGTAACAAGCAAGCACACAAAGGAGGATCCAGAAATGGGAGAGGTCGAAGTACACAGAGAGGAACATGTAGAAACAGAGGAAACTCAGAAAGACAAAAACATGAAAAAAAAAACACTCCATCATTGTGGAGAACCATACCCGCATACTGGATACTCGCATACCGTCCTGCTAGAGGCCACAATTGTAGATCATGTGGCAAACTGAATCACTTTTCTAGGGTGTGCAAATCTAAGGTCGTGAAACAATTTCAAACAGCAACAGCTGAAATGTCAAGCTAAGGGGACGAATATTCATTTCATATCCACGAAACCCAAGGGTAACAGTAAGCAACCGAAAACCAGAAAAAGAATGTTCGGCACAGACATTGAAATGCTAGTTGATACAGGAACAACAGTGAACATTATTGATGAAACTTGTTTTGCCGAACTTGAGGAACGTCCCAATATTGATCATACTGGTACAAGAGTCTACGCATATGGATAAAAAAAACCAATAGACTTAGTTGGTAGTTTCAGAACTGACATTTTATTTATTACTCACCAAACAAAGACAACTACAGAAATATGTGTTGTGAAGGGAAATTATGGATCAATTCTCAGCTACCAGACTGCAGTGGACTTGGACATCTTACCAGTTATTCGTTTAGTCACACCTCCCAAAACAACAGATCATTGATGAATTCTCGGACAGATTTGAAGGTATTGGGAAGATAAAAGACCTCCAGTTACAGATACATGTTGATGATACAAAAGCACCGGTCGGACAGCCGCATAGGAAGATATCACTTCACGTGAGGAAAAAGGTGGAAGCCGAGTTAGAGAGACTAGAAAAACTTATAAATATAAATAATTTAAAATTAAAATTATTCTAGAGAAAATTGAGGGACCCACTCCCTGCGTTTCCCCTATAGTGGTAGCCCTTAAACCAAAAAAAAAAAAAAAAAAAAAAAAAAAAAAAAAAAAAATAAGAGGAACTTAGGATTTGTGTTGACATGAGGCAGATGAACACTACAATCAATAGAGAAAGGCATATAACACCCACTATAGATGACATCATACTTGACCTAAATGTACCTCGTGTATTCTCAAAGTTGGACATCAACTCATGATATCCCCAGGTGGAACTAGCACCCGAGTCAGGAAACATAACAATATTACGCATGTCGGTGTAAGGAGGTAAAAAAAAAGCTTGATATTCGCAATCAGCTGTGCTGCAGAAAAATTTCAAACTACGAGGGTTGTTCGAAAAGTTCGTGGACTGATGTGATAAAATTAATTCTATGTAGTCTATGCTTGTAAAATTTTTAATAAACATAAAACAACAAAAGTTAAAGAAATTTTGTAAATTTTAGCTTGATACCTTGAATATTTACCAAATTATCCTAAAATAAAAAAAAACAAACATTATATGATCACCCGGCGCTGTCGCCATTTAGTCTCATGACGCCATTGTTTTTCATCGTCCGCATTCTCTACCTCATACACTTATCTTGATGAGTTTCCTTCGAGTTAAGAAAAGATTTAAACCCGTCTTGTTTATATGATTTTACAATATCATAAACAGCTGATTTCAATGTATATAATATTGCAAATAGAATGTTAATAGATCTGAACGATCCTCACTTGATTATAACAGCATATTTCCTTGTCGGACTTCAACATCTATCACACATGATCAACGTCACTTTTCGACGTGACAAACTTTGAACACCCTTACTTCAAATCGACATTAACTTTTACATCTCTTGTCTCTTTAATCTTTTTCGGCGTTTAGAAACAAGTACTCTGAATGCATTTTATTTTTCAGTAGCCCATATAAATATTACCTAGGTCTATACCAGTTTTCCCAGAGGGTGAAACTTTATAAAATGTTGGAAAAAGAAACCCACCCCCTTTCTGACGTCATTACAACCCCATTATTGTTTGAACATTTCATTTAACGTAGGTCGCGGGTTTGCAGGCCATTAAAAAGTGTCCGAAAACATACCATGAAAATTAGTTATATGAATCCTCTACCTTCGTTTTATATTCTCTGAAAATATCTGTATCGTTTTTGTGTAATTAAATCCCAAACATGCCATTGTTGTCGTTACATTTTCGACGTTATTCTATTGAATTATATAAGAAAAACGTCTTTTTCGGCTCGTTTTGAGGCAAGATTTTGTTTCAGAAAATATCAATAACTTTCAAATGGTGCTGACGAAATTGTTTTCCCTTTGGTATTTTTACAAAGAATTGATTTGAAATAAATCAATGTGAAAAAATTAATATGTCTTCGGGTTAGTTTTCGGGTACTTTAAATGTGGATAATTGCTTTTATATCGCAAAATGTAACATTTTTAAGAACGACGTCATAAAATATCGCGACGTCATGCTTGACGTCGTGAATATCTATCCGGTATTCAGTGCAGAAAAATAAGATGAAATATTTTTTATAAAAAAGAAATTCACGTCTATCTGCTTTCAAGTGACCCGTGAATCGTATCATAATAATTCAATATCAATGAAATGATTATTAGACATGCATGTCTCTTCAGATTAGGCTTTTTGTACGTGTTATATATATGTGTGAAAATTCTCGCAAGGGATGTAAAACAACAATCAATCCTTTAGTTTCTTTCTTCCAATTTATATGTTGTTTTCTTACCGTTTCTTTTCTGTTTTTTTTTTTTTTCCAGATAAGACGTATCCTTACATTTGGCTGTGTATTTTTCTTTTCCAGCGTGCTGGCGGAAAACGGTATCTCTCTAATTCAAGTACATAAAATGTTTTTATTCAGACTATTCAGCAAGGCGCTTAAATCTACGAATTTCTGCCAAATATCGTCCCGGCTAAATACAATATATTTTCAGTATATATTTAAACAAAATATTTATTTTTACACACCACATTTTCAGAGGGGTAAATGGGACGAGAATTTAAAAATTAATTTTGTCTGTAAACAAAAGCCAGTTTTTTTAGAACATTAATTCTACTTGTTAGACATGGAAAGCAAAGTAACGAATAAAATCTGTAGGTAACAGCATTGCAAGCTGTTGCTTAGGGGACGCGATCATTTTATTCGGGGGGGGGGGGGGGAGGGGGTACAGATTTTGGAAATAATCTGTCCTCGAAAATGTTGAAAATAAATAATCTTTCCTCGACTGGGCAAGAAAATAAAAAATATGTCCATGACTAGTTCTAGCATCCCCCCCCCCCCATGGGAGTTTTCAACTTTGATGTTTTCCTTTTTTTTTTTTTGCTTGTCAGACTTTTTTCAGTGAAGATGAAATAAATAATATGTCCTTTTTTTTGGGAGGGGGGGGGGGAATAAATAATATGTTCTTCACCGACATGAAAATAAATAATCTGACTCGGTAAAATTTGCCACCCCCTCTCCCTCAGAATCAAATACTTGTCCCCTAACAGGAGGCCAGTGTCGCTAAAAATATGCCTTTATGTTTCATCGTGCGTTAGCAGTATTTAATTTATGATAAACTTGTAGATCTATATATTTTAAAAATATCCTTTTTAAAAATAAAGTTTGATCTTTTGATGTAACATGTGTATTTGCGATTTTTCTTTTTAAATAATGGCTTCTTTATTGATAAAACAAACTGTTAATTCAAATACGATCAAAGGAAAAAAGGTCAGTTGAACATTGTGCCCATATCGTTTCGCGATACCAAGTGAAAACAAATCGCAATTTCTCGGGCCTTTCCGACAAGCCGAAAAACAACCACTTGTTTTTCCAAGCTTGCAGGAAAGGCCCGAGAAGATGCGATTGATGACAAATATAATTCAACGTTTTTTAATATTTCCAGTGTCGTTCATTCGAATCGTAATAAGCCTTCTTCACTAAATTACTAATTCCAACAAAAAGTTGTATCTAAGTATTGTATCGACTATAAAAATCGTAAAAAGCCTCCATTATTTGTGGTAAGTTGTTGATTAAATAATATAACACTAAACTGCCAATTCCAAGAAAAGTTATAGCTAAATAACGATATACTGAAGAATTTAATAAAACAAAAATCAACGCAGATTTCTTTTTCATTGTGACGTCATAATCAAATGTGCACAAGAAAATCGCCCAAATCATATAAATTGCGTACACAGTTTTAACGACGTCAGCAAACCCGCGACTTACGTTAACATTAGGATAAAATTTCATAGAACTTACAAAATGGGGTAAAAATTGACAATTTTACGGTACAATTGTGTAATACCACATGAGTGAATTGACGGGATTTTTGAATGACAAATGCTCATATCCAAAAAAGTTTTTCTAAGTTACACTTAGGTAGAAAAAAACGTAATCTTCGAGGTTGCGCCGCGTGGACATACCATTGCTTTCAAAAACATCAACAATTTATTAAAAAATAAAACTAATGATGCATAATTTATCATATAAATAAAAAAGATGATGTTAATTGAACGTTAAAAAATTCATTGATGTATCTTAAGCGGTTTTAATTTTATGGCGCTAGTCCACGAACTTTCCGAACAACCCTGGTATAAGCAGAGACTGTTTGGAAGGACTAGAAGGCACTTGAAATATCAGTGATGATATAATTGTGTTCGCAAAAACACAGGAGGAGCATGATCAAAGACTCAAGAAGGTACTACAGAGGTTACGTGAGAAAAACATAACAACAAATCAAAGTGTGAATTTAACAAAAACTCTGTATAATTCTTTGGATACCATTTTAGTGCAGAAGGGATGTCAGCAGACCCATAGAAGATAAATGCCATTACGTCAGCTGCAGCTCCGCAAAATGCAGGTGAACGTCGTAGTCTTCTGGGATTAGCAAACTATGTTTCTCGCTTCATACCAAATTTTGCAACGATTGTGGCTCCGTTACGTGTTCTCTCTCACCAGAAAACTACTTGGCATTGGGGCAAAGAAGAACAATCGGCGTTTGACGAACTGAGGGTAAACTAACTAGTACTGATGTTATGGCTTACTTCGATCCTTCAAAGAAAACCAAGTTACTGGTTGATGCGAGTCCAGTGGGACTCGGAGCAGTACTCACTCAAGAGGGAAGGATCATATCCTATGCAAGCAAAGCTCTCTCGGATGTGGAAACATGATACTCCCAGACGGAAAAGGAGGCGCTAGCCATAGTGTGGGGAATTGAACACTTTCATCTCTACTTCTTTGGTGCTGAATTCTTACTTACCCCACAGGCCCTTGGAGATATCTTCAATAATCCATGAAGCAAATCCCCAGCCAGGATCGAAAGGTGAAGGTTACGATTACAGGCATACGATTTTACAGTTGAATACGTCCCGGGAAAGGAACTCCAGCCGATTAAATCTCCAGGAACCCTCTGAAATCGGAAAGCACATTTCGACACTCCAAGATAGCAGAGGAATACTTGAATTTTGTTCTATCTTCAGCAAAGCCAAAAGCACTATCACTTACCCAGATTACTGATGCAACCAACAAAAACCTATCATTCAAGAAGTAATATCAAGAATGCTGAAAGGAGAGTGGAAGTCAACTTCAAAAGATGCTAGAGTTCAACAGTATTTTCGCATTCGTGACAAATTGACTATTGCACCAACAGAACATGGCAGCATACTACTATTTGAGAACAGAGTTGTTATACCACTCACCCTTCAACAGGACGAAGTAGCAATAGCACATGAAGGACACTAAGGACTGGTAAAAACCAAGCAGCTTCTATGTGACAAAGTCTGGTTTCCTGGAATTAACCAACAAGTCGAAGATGTCTATAAAAAGTGCGTACCCTGTTTAGCTTCCACTCCCATAAACCATCAGGAACCGCTTCAAATGACAGAAATACCAAAATCACCATGGTCTCGGGTATCGGCTGATTTTTGTGGTCCGTTTCCGACAGGAGAGTATGTACTAGTCATGATTGATGACCATTCCAGATACCCAGTGGTTGAGATACTAAGATCTTCTTCAGCGAAGTCTGTAATACCAGTAATGGGCACGGTCTTCTCGCTATTTGGAATACCGGAAGAGCTCAAGACAGACATTGGCCCGCCATTTCAAAGTCAGGAGTTCAGCAGGTTCTCAGAATACCTTCGCTTCAAGCACAGGAAAATCACGCCATTATGGCCGAAGGCGAACGGAACGGTGAGGCTGAAAGATTCATGCGCACTCTTGGGAAAGCTATTAAAACAGCAAATATAGAATGCAAAAACTGG